AAAGCAATAAAATGAACGGGTTTAATAGTCTTGAACAACTCTTGGATTGATAAGGACTCCTCAAAATTATACAAGATAAAAATTGCTGTTTTTTGGGGTTTAGTATACAACCATGCAAAATAAACTTCAGTTCTTAATGCCAGCATCCAACTATTGCCAAAATATTCAATTCTCTGGAATGTTTAAAAAAAAAAAGAAAAAAAAAGAAAAAAGCAAGCAATCACAGTACCTTTTATGTCTAGTCATTTTTCTTTGTTTTTTTTTTTTTTTTTTTTTTTTTTTTTAACAAGCTTGCAGAAGATTTTAGAAGCAACCAAAAAAGAAGCAACAGGATACAATGGAAAACAGTAAAAACAATAACAAAAGAACAAAAAGAATTAAAAACAAAATTAAATATGAACAGAGGTTAAAAAAAAAAAAAAAAAAAAAAATTATTAAACATGAGCTTTCAACCACATGGGTCCGGTTGAAAAATGACCTTTTTGGGGGTTTTACTTTTCTTTCTTTTTTTAATACTCATCCCAACCTAACATTTTACATTTGACTTTTTAAATTTTTTTTGTATTAATTTTTTTTTTTTTTTTTGTAATTTTTAAAACCCAAGCTAAAGTCTTGTTTCATATTTGTTTATCATAAATTGTTCATAGACAAGTCTTAAAGTTTTGCTTGGGAAAATGTTTTTTTTTTTTCCTCATATCGCATAAATGTTTATTTTGCAAATAAATGACTAGAAATTTGAAGAATTATTTCAAGAGATAAACTCTTCATTGTGGCCTTTGACAACAAGTTCTTTTTTTCTTTCCTGCTGGTCAACAAAACAGTGCCGGTCGAAATATTTGTGTTTGAGTGTGTGCGTATTCACATATTTTACATATGTGAATGAGTTCATATATATATATATATATTGTGTGTGTGTGTTTATGGTTGCATTTTAACATTTTTTTTTCAGACCCTGTTCTGTTGTAGGATCACAATAAAATCCATATTACAATTTACAAGAGGTGCTGAAGAAGTCTAAATACAACCCACTTTTCGAAGCGTCAGAATTTATTTTTTTAATTTTTTTCTTGTAGGTAGGTGGGAGTTGTCATAACTTCTTGGTCAGGGCAAGTACATTTCAGCACCCGCTTCATAGTAAAGTTAAACCAGTGGACAATGATGTGCATGCAAATATATATATATATATATATATATATATATATATATATATATATATAGTGGATTCTGTTTAAGTGAAGCACAACAAGACCAAAAACCTTTGGTCCCTATAAATGATTATTCCTTATAAATTGACTTGCATAAAAAAAAGGCAGATTATGACGACATTACATTTGGTTCTGTTCTTTTCAGTTTGGTCCTTGTAAGCAGCTATTCCTTGTAACTGATATACCATTTTACCAGAATCCACTGTGTGCGTGTGTGTATATATATGTGTGTGTGTGTGTGTGTGTGTTTACTCCATTACATTGTAGACATCAAATAGTAGTTATCACCATTCATTTGTACATTTGTGTTTGTTTTGTCATTTTATATATATAGATATTTTTTTTGGGGGGGTATTTTTGTTTTTTTACATTTTTAACTCATTTTCAATTGGAGCAAATCAATGTTTGTTTGGTCTAAGCCTACAATTTAATAATAATAATAAAAAAAAATAAAAATTATAATTTTTTTTTTTGTTCTTTTTTCTTTTTTTTTTTTTTTTTTTTTTTTACAGTTCAGCCCACGGGATTCAAAAGCCAATGTTTGGGGGATATTTCTCTATGCACATCTCATGACAGGGCATTAGACATTAATCAAATTGGCAGTGACTCGAAAGAAAAGAAGACTGACTCCAGACATTTCTCTTAAAACAAGTCAGCAACAACAACAAAAACAACAACAACAACAACAATAAAAACGGGAAAGTTCCTGGTTTAAACGTCCTTGGTAAGAATTTATAACTATTTTTTGGCAATCTAATAGTTTAGAGGTAACTACTTTTAGCCTTGCCACGAGTGCCACTTCTGAAAATTTGTAGTTCTTGTTTGGCACAGAACTGTCATTGTTTGTTTTGCGCGCTTTATTCTTCTTTCTTTTTTTTCTTAAATTTAAAACCATTTATTTCTTGAATTTTAGCACTGATCTGTTCTATAAATCTCCTTCATAATTAATATATCTTTATTTACTTATTTGTGTTTGTCTGTCTGTATGTCTGTGCAAATAAGTGTAGCCAACTGAATCATTTTCAAGTGTCTATGAATATATTAAAAATAGCTGGGAAAAAAAAAAAAATGTATTCTTTTTTTTTTTTTTTTTTTTTTGTAAATGTTGGCATTTTAATAGTCAAACCATCATCTTGTAACATTTATGAAATTTCTCCAAACTAACCAATAGAATTAAAGCACTTAAATTTGCAGAGGATTTGGTTATGTCGATTTGAGCCTAAATTTAATTGGTCAATTTCCCCTGAAGACCCATTTCTATTGTAAGCTTAAATCTCATTGGCTCCATATTATTTATAAATTTAAATGCCTAAATCTGATTGGTCATAAAAGTCATGCCCACATGGAGAAATTCAATAATGACAATACTGGATTTTTCAAAACAATCACAAACTCGAAACTGAAATATCATCCATTGTTTTGATTTTTCTTTTTAAATAGTTTGTGTGTGTGTGTGTGTGTGTGTGTGTGTGTGTGTGTGTGTGTGCATATATGCGGTGGGCAAGAACTGGAGGGACTACTGTTGTCATGGTGATAGCTTGTAATTTTGCATGAGGGAATTGGGTTCAATACTGTTCCTCTCTTTCTCTCTCTCACTCTCTCTCCAATGTCCAGGTAAGAGTTCTCCACAGGGGTGGGCTGTCACCACTTGAAGATAAGTACCCGGACCATAGTAGGCAGGCCTTAGATGAAGAGGGAGACTTTTACGTACGAATGGCTGCTATATTATCTGCAGCGTGCTGCACACGTAGCATATTGTAGCAAGTCTGACACACTCGCACGGGTTTTAAGATTCGAAGACGACGTATCTCCGTTTCAAAACGGCTACACCTGGAAAGAAATAAAAATAAGCAAAGTTTAAATTTTGTTTTAAAATTGAATCAAAATCAATATCAATGTTTTTTATTTGAAATTTTCCAAATTTAAATATTGAAATTTAATATAGATTTTTGATTAGTAATTTTTTAAAACTTATTTCTGTTGCTTTTTATTACAACAGACAATTTGATAGTTTTGAGAAAAAGCAATTTAAATGAAGGTGACAGAAATACTAGTGAAAAATTAATAATGATCAACAAGACTTCATCTAATAAAATTTCAGGATACTACTAATACTACTAGTGGAAATAAAGCAGTTGAAATGAAGATGACAGAAATACTAGTCAAAAATTAATAATGATCAACAAGACTTCATCTAATAAAAATTCAGGATACTACTAGTGGAAATAAAGCAGTTGAAATGAAGATGACAGAAATTCTAGTCAAATATCAATTATGACGGATAAGGCTTTATCTTTTAAAAATGAAACATATTATTTGGAGAGAGAGAGTACCTAATGGGAGGCTGGCAGGCAGCCATGAGAGACTGTAGTGCCATCAAGAAAATGAAATAGAACAATAAAGTTGACCAAGTTCCTCATAAGAATATAGTTTGGAATTGGGTTTCTGATTGTCCTTGTTCATTCTCTTTCACTCCTAGTAGCCTCCTGGTGGCATTATTACCTTCTGAATCAATTAAAAATACAGGACATTATCTCTGTGATGAGACATTATTATTTACACTATTATCCTCATCATTTTTATTGTTTCATCTGTTGTACCTCTGGCCTTCATCAGGCATATATATATATATATATATATATATATATATATATATATATTATATTTTAAGTTATGAAGAACTTGGTAAACCAAATTGGTAAATCCAAGGAGGATGAAATCCTGAGAGCTCAATGTGAAGAACAGAGCTAATATTTAATGAAAAACAAGACACTTTTTTGTTCAGGAAAAATACAATAATAAATTTTGACAAAATCAGGCATCAGGAATCATTGGAAGTGTTACCTGATGATCCAAAGTCCTTTAAAAAAGGATTTTGTGAAATAAATTATTGTAATGGTACCTTAAAGTGTCTATTTTTCATTAAATATATATATATATATATATATATATATATATATATATAATATATAGGATTGGTAAGTATATGGAATAAATTCCAATAACAACAAATACTATTCTTAAAAGCATGCTCAATACAGTGTAGAGCAAATATAATTATTTATTCAAAAATTATAGCATAAATATGTTATAAAATCACTACAAAAATAACCATTTTGTTTCAACACTCCTGGTGTCTTATCAAGTGATGGTGTTGAATGTCCAGTTTTCAGTAATTTTTGGCAACAAATTTTTTGTAGGATAATTGCAAAGATGAGGAAAATAATTTGAATATAAATAGTGTAAATAGTAACTAAGGAAGGTGGGAAGTAAGGCTGGTCAAAATATTATTGTTAAAAACAAGGATAAGAGAGCTAACACTCTGCCCAAAAGCAAAAATTAATTTCATAGAAAAGGAAAAGAAAAGGAATAGGAAAAGGAAAAGAAAAGGAAAAGGAAAAGAAAAGGAAAAGGAAAAGAAAAGGAATAGGAAAAGGAAAAAAGAAAAGGAAAAGAAAAGGAAAAGAAAAGGAAAAGGAAAAGAAAAAGGAAAGGAAAAGAAAAAAGAAAGAAAAGGGAAAGGAAAAGAAAAAGGAAAGGAAAAGAAAAAGGAAAGGAAAAGAAAAAGGAAAGGAAAAGGAAAGGAAAAGGAAAGGAAAAGGAAAGAAAAGGAAAGAAAAGGAAAAGAAAGGAAAAAGGAAAAGAAAGGAAAAAGGAAAAGGAAAGAAAAAGGAAAAGGAAAGAAAAAGGAAAAGGAAAGAAAAAGGAAAAGAAAGGAAAGAAAAGGAAAAGAAAAGAAAAAAGAAAGAAAAAGAAAAAAGAAAGAAAAGGAAAAAGAAAGAAAAGGAAAAGAAAAGGAAAGGAAAGGAAAAGTAAGGAAAAAGGAAAAGGAAAAGAAAAAAAAAAAAAAAAAAAAAAAAAAAAGAAAGAAACAAAGAGTTCATGAAAGTCTCATTATTCCTTAGACTTCAATGATAATGAATAAAATAAAACAAAACAGAAGCGACTCACTTGGAGCAGAAGACTTGTCCACAGTTTCTGCAATGGTGACGACGTTCTGAGAAAGAGAATTTCACTCGACAAGACAAACAGCTATCAACTCCTTCATCCTTCATCCAATGGTCAGCTACGACCCGTCCCGGTTGGTCAGTTACAGTCCAGCTGTAGATACGGCCACGTGCATCACCAACATAGATTGTTTTGTGGTCCCTAGAAAAAAAGTTTGTACTGCAATTAGTTGTGTACAATGCACACTTTTTCCAGATTTTTAAGCTTAAAAGTTACAGATCAAGAAGCACCTGATGAAGGCTGGACAGGGAAAGGGTTGAAACGTTGTGATAAGAACAAAGATGACAATAACATGTAAATAACAATTTTTTTCTTTTTTAATATATTTCATCTTTCACAACAACAACAATTATGCAATTTTTGGTGTCATATATGTAAAACATGCATCTACTTTGTACTATTAAATATGAATAAAACCATAACATGCCATGTTTTGTGCCTTACAACATAAACACTGGCTTTTATATAATTGAATAAAAGGCTTTTCATTTAATATTTATCTTTAATGTCTCCACAAATTATTATCTTCATCAGAGGCATAAACAGATTATTAGTCTAATGATCTTAAGGAGTTAAATGCCACTTACTTGGCCACTGCAATGGCAGTGACAGCAGCAGGGTCCTTGTTGTCTTTGCGCTCAAATGCTGTATGCATTGTTAATTTGCTGCGAAACACCAACTGCCTCTGCCAACGGAAGCCTGCAAATTAAAAGAAAATTGATATTAAATTGGGCATAAACTTGTCACTTAAACTTGAAATAATTATATTATGTACTATTCGAAAGTCTTTTTGAAAATGAATATGGAGAGGTGATGAAATTGATATTATCCTTTGCAGGAAAAATATAATAAAATGAACATGTGTTGGAAATAACTTCTAATATAGGAATGCATTGCTAATGGTTTTTACAAGAGGAATGCATTGCCAATGATTTTTACTATACAGAATGCATTGCCAATGATTTTTACTATACAGAATGCATTGCCAATGGTTTTTACTATAGAAATGCATTGCAAACGGTTTTTACTATAGAAATGCATTGCAAATTATTTTTAATATTGGAATATATTAATAATTATTATAAAAAGTATTGCAATTTTTTTTTTACTATAGGATCACATATTATTTTATGTTGAATCTTGTATATATCTTCCATTTAATTCAGTACTTATTTGTAATCGTCTATCAGACTACCTAGATAAATGAAAGTACCATTTATTCTACTCCTTATAAATTTTTCTTAAATGTAAAAAAAAAAAAAAAATCTATTCCCTGGTTGATTGCAAAAAGTTGCCCAAAGCAGTTTTGTTGAAAAAGATAAATGCATCTGGGAGGATCTTGTTATAAAATTACCTGAAAAGTGGCAGAAAGTAATGAAATAAAATTCAGAATATTTTCTTCAACTAATTAAGGAAAAAAAATTTACAAAATAAACTTTGAACAACCTTGTTATCCAAATAAACACATTATGGACTCAATTTAAACAGATGCCTTTTTTTCAATAAATTTTGACCAATTTAAGTTTTCTTATTTATTTTCTTGATTTCAAATGAAAACTTGCAAATTTTCCATCACATTTTAATGAAGTTCTCACTTTCCAAATTCTAGTATATAATTTTAATTTAGATATATGTGTAAAAGAAATTGTCAGTTTAAAATGATACCATGAAAATGTAAGGTAAAGTTTGTATTTTCTTGATTTTAGATGAAAACTTACAAATGTTCCATCACATTTCAGTGAAGTTTTCATTTTCCAAAATTCTAGTTTATAACTTAGATATACAGAAAAAAGATGTTAGATTAAAATGTTGCCTGGAAAATATGAATTTTAAAAATCAATCTTCATAAGAATATACTCTACCCTCATAAAATTTTTCTCATATATATATGTGTGTGTGTGTGTGTGTGTGTGTATATGTGTAAAAATTTTCAGATATAATTAAAATATATCTATAAAAAGAGAATATGCATAGATACAAAAAAAAAACTTATCTTAGTCAATACGTCTCATCCTCTTTCAGGCTTTCTCAAGGCAAGCATCAGGATTTTATTTCACAAGTATTTATAAACGAAAGTAAAAATGTTAGTTTTCCAAATTTTTAAATTTAAGAGAAACTCAAATATTCAGACTAACTGAAAAGTCTAGGTAAATTATGGCAGATGCTCAATGATGTAATTCAATTTTTAATAAACAAAAGTGAGTAAAGGATGTTGTTGAATTTCTTTTTAACTTCCCATCATTTAAAAAATATGCAATACATAAATTTATCCTATACGGAAATAATGTAAGACTAAATGCATAAAAAATTCAACAGTAAAAGAAAAAGAATAGAAAAAAGAAAAAGAATAGAGGAAAAAGAGGAAAGAAAGAAGAAAGAAAAAAAGAAAAGAAAAAGCAAAAAGTAAAAGAAAAAAGAAAGAGAAAAACAAAAAAGAAACAGAAGAAAACAAAAAACAAAACCCCCCCCCAAAACCCAAAAAACCACCAAAAAACGAAAACAAAAATGTATAAACAAAGAACGAAAAATACAAGACCAAAAAATACAAAAACAAAAAATACAAGACCGAAAAATACAAGACCGAAAAATACAAAAATAAAAACGAAAAACAAGAAAATGAAAAGGCGAAAAAGAAAAACAAGAAAATGAAAAGGCGAAAAAGAAAAACAAGAAAATGAAAAGGCGAAAAAGAAAAACAAGAAAATGAAAAGACGAAAAAGAAAAACAAGAAAAAGAGAAAAAAGTAAAAAACAAGAAAAATTAAAAACAAAAAAATAAAACACTAAAAACTAAAAAAGAAAAGAATACATTAATAAAAACAAACTGTATAAAATAAAAAAAAAATCAGAAAAAAATTAACTTATAAAAAAAAAAAAAAACCAAAAATGCTTTCTCTGCACTGTAATCAAGTTAAACTCCAGTCTCTAAAATCAGTAAATAGCACTTACCCTCTCGTAAATGATTTTTCATTGATAGCTTAGGTTTACGAATTTGATTATCGTTCAGTTTGTTGAAACTTGGAACATCCGATGAAGAAATTACAACAAAGTCAGATGAAGACGATTTGGCTGAATCTTTGTCACTATCGTGTTCTGCCTTGTCCAGACTGTCTGTCTGGTCATCTGCTTTGATTGTATCCGTAGACTCATCCATATCAGCAGCCATATTCTGTTGGTCAGATAAATTTGATTTACTGGACAGGTCGTCCCTTATTGAGTCGGTGCTGTCTGGAGTTTTCCGGATTCCTTGCTGTTCCTGCTCAAGTTCCAAAAGGGCATCAACTGCTGCATCGACTGATTTGACACTGCCATTGTCCCCTGCATGAAGCGATGCTGCAGACAACCGGGGACATTCTTCATAAATCAGCAACTCATTGCTGGCTGCAGTGTCAAGGTCGTCTTCGACACTGGCAGTATCACTTGTCTTGTAGATGTCACTGGCGCTGCTGGTAGAACTCAAGTTGCTCTCGTTGCGTTTATCGGTCTGTCCAATACCTGACAGTTCATCTTTACAGCCAGCTAAACGTCGACCAAAATAGCTCTCACTTTCAGCTGAAGAGCCGAGTTCGATTTCTTTCGCTGCCAAGTAATCAGGGTCTTTGAACTCTTTTAGCCGGTCAGCAACAGCTTTAGCATCAACACTGTAGCTGTCACATGATTCTCGACGTCCCAGACGGGGTATATCAGTTGGCTTTGTTACCGAGCTACTCAAACTGATATTCATATTGTTGGAGGCAGTGGTGTCCTCGGTGCTTGGGATGGCACTTGTTTTAGTTTCAGTGGTGGTGGATGTGGCAATGGTGGTGTTGGTGGTGGCTGACAGCGGGGCAAGGCTATCTGTTACATCTTTGTCTTTATTTTCTTTGGTGTTTTCTGTGCAAGCTTTGCATTTAGCCTCTTCGGGGAGCTGCACAAATTCTACACTCCACATCTGCAAAATAAACAAATATGGTTATTTGTTAAGTTTAATTTAAGTTGCCCGACATAAGATATTATGGCAGGGAACATTGGATTTGGACTATCAGCAATAGCAAAGTGTCTCTTCAAAATTCCCAGACAAAATTTACTGAGAGCTACAAAAACAGGAAATTGTGGAGAGCCATGATCACCAATGACTTGAAGGGACATGGAAACTAGTAAAAGAAATATGAGCTTGTGTAAATGGTTAGCAGGACATGGATCAGGAGAGATAGTAAAAAAACAAATTTTATTAAGAGCTACAGAGGTCAGGAAATTGTGGAGAGCCATGATTGAAGAAAATCTAAGTTGGAACATACTTGGACGTGCACAGGTACAAATATTTGCATGGGGTCATTCTGGAGATTAAATAATCAGATAACGTGCGTGTGTGTGTGTGTGTGTGTGTGTGTGTGTATGCAGTTTATATATATATATATATATATATATATATGCCATCTTCGACATATTTGTTAAGCATTTTGTAAGGAGTGAACCCACCAGCAACATTTTGTAAGTGAAAACTTGGTAAACATTGACCTGCAGCAAGTACCACTGTCAACTGGAGAGATCTTTCATTTTACTTACCCTTACGACACCATCACTGCTGCCTGTTAAAATCACATTTTGACAATCCCATTCCATCATCTACAAAAGGAAGAAAGTGAAATGCAATTTAATATTGACTAACATAAAAAAGAAGTTAGTACATTAAGGCTAAGCTTGAAGCTGCTCTGCTTATTTCTTGGTTACAAGTCGAGATCCTAAATATATCAGTTAACAGTCAAAATCATCTGTATCTTGGTTACCAGTCGCAGCCTTGCATATCTCGGTTACCAGTCGCAACCTTGCATATCTCGGTTACCAGTCGCAACCTTGCATATCTCGGTTACCAGTCGCAACCTTGCATATCTCGGTTACCAGTCGCAACCTTGCATATCTCGGTTACCAGTCACAATCATGCATATCTCAGTTACCAATAAATACTACATATATCAGTTACCAGTCACAACTGTACATATCTTGGTTACCAGTCAAAATGTCATACTGTAACTACGAAAAGAAAAATGACTGATATATTTTTATTTTACACAGCTTTACAAATTCTACATTTTATTGATCAAAAAATTGAATTATATTTCATATATTACTTGTGGAGAAAATCTAATGACAATAAAAGGCTAGTTAAATCAATTTAAGGGAGATAATTCAGTTTGCAATATTTTTAAAATATTTAAACTCATCCTTTTTTTGTATTGATTTTATAAAAAACATGTCATACATCATAAGAAATAATAATGCTTCATTTATTCAACCTTTACAGAGACACAATCCTCAGAGAATTATATGTCCTACCAGCATGCATTATTGGTGACCAGAATTTATATATATATATATATATATATATATATATATATGCAGATGACTCGATGATGACAACAGATTGAGAAAGGAAACTACAGCAACTCCGACAGAAGATAGTAAAGCAAAGTGAGAAGAAAGGACTCACTATCAATTGCAAGAAGACAATGTATGGTTGCCAGCAAAAATAACAGTCTGACATGCAGACTACGAGATACCAAAATGAAGCAAGTACAAAAATTTAAATATCTAGAAATTGTTTTAACAGAGGATGGAAAGTATGAATCAAAATCCGAAGGTGCATTGGAATAGCGAAAGATGCCTTCTAAAAGCTAAGCAAAGTATTAAGAAACAGAAAAACTTTGTTTGAAACAAAGAAAAGAGTTCTGAACTGTTATGTAATAGCGGTCCTTCTATATGGAAATGAATGCAGAACAATTTCATCACAGATGAAGAAGAGAATTGAGGCAATAGAAATCTGGATTTATTTAAGCATGCTGAGAATACTATGGACAGAACATGTGAGTAACAAGGAAGCTTTAGGGGAAATGAAACAAAAAGGACACACCTAGAATCAGAAAGAGATAACTAAAATATTTAGGGTAAATATTGAAGAAAGAGGGCTTGAAAAATTTGACACTCACAGGACATATTGAAGGAAAAGGAGACAGTGGAAAGCAGTGCATAACCTATCTTTTCTTTTTAAATCAATTCACCCCAAGTAAAGCGATAATGCCACTAAGATGCAAGGGTCTACTGGGAGTGAAAGACAATGAAGAGACTTTAGAGCAGCCATTCTCAACCTTTCCTCCATCATTGACCCCTCACGGCTTTATGTATTTCTCCATTTACCCCCCTACTCCCATACAAAAATTCATAGCCATCATAAAGCACTGATGTACAATTTTGTGACTAAATGAATGAATGATTTTTTTCATTCAAAATACTGTGCCTAAAAAATACTAAGCGGCATTCAAAATACTGATTTCTTATTTAGTACGAATCTACTAATTTTTTAGTATAAGTATGAAATTCAGTATTTTTATTAACATTTGTAGTCATTAATAAAAAAATTATTCATTTTATCCGCTGTATTAGTAGATCTACAAATTAATACTAATCATAATCATTCATTCAAAAAAAATTTTTTAGTATTTTTGTTTTTGGCAATTTAAAAAATTTTTGGAAAATACTAAAAAAAATTTTTTTTTGAATGAATGATTATGATTAGTACTGACTAATTTGTGACTAAAAATTGTGCAAATTAGTCATTAGTAAAAATACCAAAACAGAAATAAAAAATACTGATAAATACTAAAAATTAGTAAAAATTCAGTATTCTGATCAAAAAATTAGTAATCCATCATTCATTTGTACATCAACGTCATAAAGTGACAGAAAAACAAGGTCAGAAAGAACCTTTTTATTGTTTAGGACTTTAGGTTTTGTATAAAAATAGTATTATACATTCGTATAAAAAAAAAAAGAAGAAAATCAAACCTTTTCTAAATAGAAAATTATGAAGTTAATTTGTATTACAAAAAATAATGAATAGAAACATCAGAAGCATTATCAGTGGGAACACTGTTGATTCATTGAGTCAATCAGTTTGTTTATACAAGGAGCTGTTTCTGATAATGCTACTCTCATATCATCATCGGCTTTCAGGCGTTTTTTTTTAAATTATCAGGTACTTCAATTATTTACCCACGACTATATAATTTTTTACCCCCTAGGGGTAAATTTACCCCTGGTTGAGAACATCTGCTTTAGAGGGAACCTGAAGCCCAATCCTAAACAAGAAACAATTGTCAAATAAGATTGTGTAATTGGTTGACAGAACAGGAATTATGAAGACAAATCTTACTAAGAGCCACAAAGAGCAGGAAGTTATGGAGAGCCACGATCATCCATGTCCTGAAGATACGTGTCACATAGAAGAACATTTAACAAACTATTTTAAATACTTATTTGATTAATAAAATATATACAAGTTAATTCCCTTTACTGTTTTAATTCTAACAATTTCCTTGAGGTTTGAGCTCGTTGGAACTCTCAGAATAAATATAGAAGTTTGGTTCCCCTGGATGTGTACCCAACATAAAATAGTTGGTAGTTGACAAAAATGTCCTCAATCATAAACCCAAATTTATCTCATTATTAAAATCAAGTTAGTTCTGTAGGGATACAAAAGTGATTATCTCCCCTTGGTCAGGTTGAAGTCACATAACAGCTACTTAGTGATGTCACTTTATACCGTGATGAAAGTGGTCAGTCAGCTTTCAAGAGGCAAACTGAGCAGTTGATTTTTAGCCCAAGCTCCAAAGTCTGGGATGAGGTTAAATGTACCTCTCTTAGTCACATGGTGCAGCTTACAAGCCTATGGCATCATTTTCCTATGGAAATAGATCTTCACCAAGTACAGAAAATATCTCTAGCCTGCAGTCCTCATATTGGGAAAAACCCAAGACTTGCTGTTTTTCATTTGTGGAATATGTCATTGATAACATAGCATATGTCATTGATAACATATGGAATGGTGGGAAAATAGATGGATGAACATCTGTGGAATGATGGAAGATGGATGGATCTGCAGAATGTGGGGGAGGAGTAAGATGGATGGACATCCATGAAATTGGGGAGGACAGGCAGACGGACATCAGCGAAACGTGTCGGTGGGGGAGGACAGACAGACGGACATCAGCGAAACGTGTCGGTGGGGGAGGACAGGCAGACGGACATCAGCGAAACGTGTCGGTGGGGGAGGACAGGCAGACGGACATCAGCGAAACATGTCGGTGGGGGAGGACAGGCAGACGGACATCAGCGAAAACATGTCGGTGGGGAGGACAGGCAGGCGGACATCAGCCCGAAACGTGTCGGTGGGGGAGGACAGGCAGACGGACATCAGCGAAACGTGTCGGTGGGGGAGGACAGGCAGACGGACATCAGCGAAACATGTCAGTGGGGGAGGACAGTCAGACGGACATCAGCAGAACAGGAGGGGAGGACAGGCAGACGGACATCAGCGAAACGTGTCGGTGGGGGAGGACAGTCAGACGGACATCAGCGAAATGTGTCGGTGGGGGAGGAACAAGGAAGGATGGATGGACGGACAAAAGAACATCAATGGAACGGAGGAAGACAGACAAATAGGCATTCCCCAGAACGGGAGACAGACAGAGATCTACGGAATGAGAAAGTCAGATATATTAATTGAATGAAATAAATAATAAAGTATACATGACAAGTCTGTCAGTTAAAACATATCAACTGTTTTTGTAAATCAAAACACATCCAGGTGAAACTGAATGCGTCTTCAATAGAGTCACACTGTATTCCAATATAGATTAAAATCAATCAAGCAATAATTTTAGGGGACATATTAAACAAAGATGGTCTGTCACGAACCAAAATTACAAAAGTAATAAGATAATGTTTATGTCCTTACCTGTGACATAGCAACTGTGAATATTTGCTGGTTTCTAGCAGTGGCTGTGTTGACACTGGCAATTTCATCACCATTAATTGTCCACACATATAAATAGGTCCCAGCACAGGTGGCAATATCACCCTAAAATTTAATGACAAATATTTATAAAGGTAAAAAAATGAAAAACCAGTATAACAACTCCCAAAAAAAGTATTGTGTGTGTGGGTATTGTTTGTTTAATGATATTTTTTTGTAAGTTCTGTATATTTTTTTCCTCTTAGGCAGCACTTTGCTGGGTATCACCCCTAATCCAATTTAAACTATCTCTTTGAAGGCCCCATCTGCCCTGTTTTTTACCCATAGCTGGAGAAGAAAAGTGGTTTCATGCCTCTCTCATTTATAATTATATATCACAAAATTAAAAGAAAGAGAAGGAAAAATGAGACATTAATAAACCAAGTCTTACCGTTAACCCATTGATACACACGGCAGCTACTGGGGCAGCATGACCCCTCAACTGTCGCACTAGCACCAGACGGTTCAGATCCCAGATAATGCAGGACCGGTCTCGGGAACCACTGACTATGACATTGTATGCAGGAGAGGCAGCCAAACAAGTGACTGCTTCATTATGGCCATAAAGTGGACACTTCAAGACCACTCGTTTTTCTTTGGCTTTGTATTCCCACACACTGACCACCTGAAATGGGAAAAGAAAAAAAAAAAGTGATTTCATAAAACTGAGTGAAGAAATTGTTCAGCATAAATGAATGAAGTGGAGACATAGAATGTAGTTCTACAGAAGGATGATGAGAATAACATGGACTGAATATATGAGCAAGGACAGCACAGGATGTGAGCTATGGAATGAAGATGTCAGAATCAAACAAGGACAGAAAATGTTTTAGAAGACAACAGAAAATATGACTTGGAGAATCTTAAGGTGCATCAGAATAGCAAAATAAATAAATAAAATCACTTCAAAAACCTAAGCAAAGTATTAAAAAACAGGAAAAACAAAGAAAAATGTGATGAACTGCTATGTAATATCAATCCTCCTATATGGCAGTGAATGTTGGACAATTTCCTCACAGATGAAGAGGAGACTTGAAGCAAGAGAAACAAAGAAAAGGGTGCTGAACTGCTATGTAATATCAATCCTTCTATATGGCAGTGAATGCTGGACAATTTCCTCACAGATGAAGAAGAGACTTGAAGCAAGAGAAACAAAGAAAAGAGTGCTGAACTGCTATGTAATATCAATCCTCCTATATGGAAGTGAATGCTGGACAATTTCCTCACAGATGAAGAGGAGACTTGAAGCAAAAGAAACAAAGAAAAGAGTGCTGAACTGCTATGTAATATCAATCCTTCTATATGGCAGTGAATGCTGGACAATTTCCTCACAGATGAAGAAGAGACTTGAAGCAAGAGAAACAAAGAAAAGAGTGCTGAACTGCTATGTAATATCAATCCTCCTATATGGCAGTGAATGCTGGACAATTTCCTCACAGATGAAGAGGAGACTTGAAGCAAGAGAAACAAAGAAAAGAGTGCTGAACTGCTATGTAATATCAATCCTCCTATATGGAAGTGAATGCTGGACAATTTCCTCACAGATGAAGAGGAGACTTGAAGCAAAAGAAACAAAGAAAAGAATGCTGAACTGCTGTCATATAACAATCCTCTTATATGGCAGTACATTTATTTTATTCTACCAGCCTGAATATTTGAGAAATCTTATTGGCCATCGGGCTTTCTGTAGTTGAGAGGTCAAAGCATGTCAGATCTAATGATGGTTACCCCTAGGGGAATGCAGTTTTGAATCCTGCTGGAGAGTGCATATTTTTCTAATAAGATTTCTCAAATATTCAGGCCAGTAGCTGAAAATAAATATACTGTTTAATAAATAAGTAAATATGGATGTCAACTAAGAAATAAAAAAATAAATAAATAAATAAATAACATTTAAGTAATATATATATATATATATATATATATATATATATATATATGCAAGTTTTAGTAAAGAGGACTGACAAGAGACTGTGATTAAGTGTTTTATTCAGTTTTTCTTAAATTAGTACAAGTATTTTCTGGACATATAAAAACTGTTCAAATATTTTATATATCCAGAACTACATGTTTTTTTTGCATCCCCATTCTTATATATATATATATCTATCTTCATTCATTTTTAAAAAAAAATCCTTGGTAATGGATAATAGACTATGCAAAAGTGCCTGCATATATAAAACATTTGGACAGTTTTTACGCACTATGTCCAGAAAACAAAATACTTGCATGAAAGCAAGAAAAGTTGAATAAAATGCTTAAATGCAGTACTTTGTCGGTCATCTTTAATACTTATCTGACGAGCTTGTGTGAATGGATGGTGGATTGGGTGGTGGATGCCTAAGCAAAGGATAAAACCTGCTAAGAGCCACATGAGATAGAAAGTTGTGGAGAGTCATGATCGCCTGTGTCCTGAAGGGATGTAACACATAGAAGATCATTGTATGGAAATGAATGGGTTGGATGGCTATGTATCAAGTGTGGCAAACACATCAGAGTGCACAGATATTATACTGATCATAAGCAGATGTGCTGGAAAGTGATACTGAAACCAATACCTGTACATAAATAATCTGGTCATCCTTTTTTATGGGTATTATGCTAGTTTAAAACAAGTGCCTGAATTGATTGAGTTGGGTTTTTTTACGGTTTATTAACCCTTTGCAGGGAATTTAAAACCAGAAAATATTTTAGATTATAAGAATCTTTTGAAGATAATAATGATTTACTGATACAAGTCCTACTATTTAACCCATAGCTGGAGACCAAATATTGTATCAAAACTTACCGAGTTCTAAAAATTAAAAACCAACACATTCTGTGAAGAATTACTCTCCATCAAAAATGATTGCACAGATCACCTGTCTATCCGTATGGATGAATCTAAAAATGATGATAAAATTGGATGTCCACCACAAATTAAAATTAATCAAACCACCTCCAGACAAAATTTAGTGCCAAGGTGAAAGCTATCAATTTGGTCCTTGCCATCATAGACTGAAGTAAACAGAAAAAATTATTAGATATTTGACTCAATGATTCAGCAATAAAAAAAACAATAAAAATGTCAAACACACTTATCATTAAAACTACTAAACAGGATCAATAACTTAAACTACTAAGATATCGTCTTCTGTATACCAAGCCATATTGGTATCACAAGAAATGATCAATTGGATTCCAAAGGAAGAAAAGCATCAACTATATAAAAAAAAAAAAACAACAAAAAAAACACATCAGACACCTTAGATACCACAATCCTATATAAGTATTTACCAGCACGTCCATCACACCCACCATGCAACCAGATGTGACACAAGGTCAGTTTAAGGTGGATTTCTCAGCAGTATCATGGAAAAATTCCCAAAGCCACTTGGCACTACCCCTTTTGGGGATGACTCAGGTGCCAGGCAATAAACTCAGTCCCCATCTGAGGAAGAGGTAAAGCTTTGGGTGATGGCCCCCTGGGGCTTGGGTGAATTTTAGAATAAGAGGAAATCCCATATACAGATCTGAAATTAACAATCAATAAATATATTAGGTGGGAGTGGCAAAATCTATAGAACTTCTTCCCAAACAATAAACTGTACAAAATTAAATCAACTGTAGAAGAATGACATCAAAAATGCCAAACTAGAAGAGAAGAAGTCATTATGTTCAGGCTCCATTATTGAACATACTACCCTAAACCCATTCATATGTCCTAAATAATGAAGGGCCTCTGGTATGTGTAGTATGCCAAGAGCCATTCACCATAAAACACATACTGATAAATTGTAGCCTATTTTTGTTCAATCTGCTTAAATTAGTACCAAACAACAACCTTAAAATGAACTCTTTCAAAATACTGATTCAATTTACATATTCCAGTTTTTAACAGAAATTATACTGATTTAAAAAAACAAACTTAAAAAACAGCAGTCTTATTATTTAAAATAAAGATTTTTTTATGGTTTAAATACAAGACTTTTTTATAAAAGCATTAAATTTTGGCATTAAATGTCCCAATGGGTTTGATATGCCTTAAACCAAACCAAAATCTATTGATCATTTTTTTCTCGTATGCAAATACTTTTTTGCAAATGTGGCTGTTGTTGATGTATGAAATTAACAATCAATAAATATATTAGGGAGGAGTGGCAGAACCTATAGAATTTCTGCCCAAACAATAAACTGTACAAAATTAAATCAACTGTAGGAGAATGATATCACAAATGCCAAACTAGAAGAGAAGAAGTCATTATGTTCAGGCTCCATTATTGGACATACTACCATAAATCCATTTGTATGTCCTAAAAAAAAAAAAAAAAAAAAAAAAGGGAAGATCCTCCGGTATGTATGGCATGCCGTTCACCATAAAACGCATATTGATAAAACTGTGGAAATTTTAATTCAATCCACTTAAAATACTACCACACATCCAACTTAAAAGAACTTTTTCAAAATAATGATTCATTTGACATATGCCATTTTCTAAGAGAAATTAAACTGATTTCAAAATTATATTTAAAAAAAAAAAATAACTAACAGTTTTAATATTTAAAATAAAATGTTTTGACTGTTTAAATCAGTGTTTCTCAAACTTTTTAACCAATGGCACATCTAGAAACAAATGAAAATATCATGGCACACTTAGCCAAATTTTTAAAGGGCACATTTAAATGTTATGAAATAAAACCATGGATTTTTAAAAAATACACACAAATATGAACTTTATTTCAATGTTTCTATTCAACTATTTGTGCAGCTTATTTAAGGTGAAACCTGTGCCTGGTGTTTTTTTTTTTGCAATTTCTTCAATGTTTGGTCAAATGTATGATAAGAAGACCCTCATTTCTTCTTCTTCAGTTAAGTATAGTCTTTCTTGCTTCTTAGGGTTTTTTTTAATGTTATTTAGGGTTGAGAAGCCTAATTCATATAAATAAAAAGTAGAAAATTGCCAAAAAACCGATAAAGTCTTTTTACCTAATGTGGGATATTCCTTTTGTATTGAAATCTAAAATGTATCAATGGATGATAAGCAGACCCTCATTTCTTCTTCAGTTGAGCGTAGTCTTTCTCACTTCTTATTTTTAATGTTATTTAGGGTTGATAAGCGTAATTCACATAAATAAGAAGTAGAAAATTGCAATATAACTGATAAAGCCTTTTTAGTCAATGTGAGATATTTCCTTTTGGATTGAAATCCAAAATGTATCAAATCTAGTATGTATGCCATGACAATATTTTGTGGCACACTTAAGAGAATTAAGTGCGCAATAGCACAGTGGTTGTGAATCACTGGTTTAAATATAAGACTATTTAAAAAACATTAAATTTCAACATTAAATGACCCAATGGTTTGATATGCCATAAAACAAACCAAACTGAAATTTATTAAATCTACTGATATATTTTTTTTTACTGATACAAGTCATATTAACCCATAGCTGGGGGAGAAGAGTTGGATTCCTAAGGGAATTAGTGCATAAGTGGATATAATGAACCTGACTAGAGTAGAAACTTAGCTCTTTGATTTCCAAATCTAAACTGTTACCATAACATCTTGTGTACATCCAAGCTTACAACACCTGGTATTCCTAACCCATCTACGTACTGACCAGGCTTGATGCTGCTTAACTTCAGTGACCATGCAAGTTTTTCAACATGATACATCCATAAACCCTTTGAATGCTACACTCACAGCATATACATTATTGGAATTTTTCAACACCACATTGTGTATATAAAAAAAGCTATGGTGATATGGCTGTAAGCCTACAAGTGTCTGGAACTCTTCCAATTCCTGGCAGGAGTGAGCTTCTAAAAAGATACTTACCGTACTCGTGCCGCCAGTAACAAAGATTTTGGAATTCGGACAAGCAGCACACAATATTTCTCCATTTCCTAAGCATTCAAATACATTGGTGGCCTAAAAGTGAAGAAAAAAATATGACAGTTAATGATAAAATCTGGTTTTCTTTTAGAATAACTCACTCCCTAGTAAATAAAGAAGGGAGGTAAATAAAAAAACTGATGCCTTATTTCGAATGAATTATGCAATACCAAACACACTATGGTCAAAGGTCAAGGCACTTCATTTTAAGGAGCAAATTTTGTCACCTACGGAAATTAAAAAAATTTCACTTACAAATCTACAATTTAAGTCAATATTATTAAAATACACCTTTAAGTGCCAAATCAAGTTTCAGGTCTAAATAAACAACAGACTTCTTCGATGGGCAACCCGACCGAATATGATCAGTATCTGGCTTGCACCTAGAATAAAATTTGCCACTAGCTTTAGGACATGCATTATATAAGTTGCCCCAGCAAACAACAACCAATCAAGACTCCACTTGGGCTATTCGATGTTACAGATTGGATATGCTTGGTTGTACTGATCTTGCTACATGTGGCCAAGACATTACCGTTGTAATGGAATATCCCACACTCCTTATCGCCCATGTGGACTGACTATAACAGTAGCTATATATAGTGAGCACAGGATATACCTGGGGGCTTGCTTCGGGAGCTAGTCGAACACTCTGTCTTCGGGCAGAGAGGAACCCAGACGAGGCTATGCCAAATGGCAGAGTCTCATCTGGGGTGGTAGACAGCTACCCAACCCCGTTTTTACAGGGTCTATGAGGAATTTTTGCCTGAGCCCATGGCTCAGTTTTAACCCTGTATTAAAAATGGCCTTGTGCCACATCCTGCCTCATGGGGAGGTGAGGTAAATAACCTTGCTTCAGGAATTACTAGACTGCCACCTGATTCGCTGTCTTTCAGTAGTGTATTCTCTTTTACAATAAACCTCTCTTTCTTTCATCTACACCTGTGTTACTGTTCCTTCACTCAAGTACCACCTTTGTCTTTTTGTAACCTTTTTAAGGATACAACACTATCTTTCTGAGTCATTCCATTATCTATCTGTTGAAATAGAATGTCCCACTCTCCCTATTACCTATTGTGGACTGACAATATCAGTAATATATGTAGTATGCACAGGACATACCAGTCTGTCTCTCTGACTGGCTTCGGGATGTGTTAGTCGACTCCCTGTCTTTCAGTAGTGTATTCTCTTTTACAATAAATCTCTCTTTCTTCCATCTACGCCTGTGTTGGTGTTCCTTCCACTAGAGTACCCACTTTTGTCTGTTGGTAACCTCTTTAAGGATACAATAGTTACATTGGTTATTACAGGTGGAACTACTTAAAGATAGTGGTCCACTCATGAAAAATATTTTGAGAAATAATTTTTGTATATTAGCATTCTTTAGACCTTTCCTGAGGCTGCAACACTTGTCAGAATTGAAAAATGTTGGTTTGTTTTTTAGAAGTATGTATGTGTGTGTGTATATGTGCATTCTGCATTATTAATATTACTTCCTTGTTTACTGCATTCTTTTTCAAGGCTGCTCAATTGCAGTATCCTTATTGTTAATTTCATTCAAAGTTGTTTTCTGTTGCCATAGCAGGATATGACAACACAACTATGAAATTCAAACACTATTGTTCAGGAATCAAAGGCACCTTCAATGACAGGATAAACTTTTTGTACTGCAAATGAATTCACATACAGATTGATAAAGGTTAAAGGGTATTAACCATGTTGTGATGGCTAACAAGCCAGTTTCACAGGGAATTTAATAATACGGTAAATTCAATACTTTCTAGATTCCTTTCTAGTTTGACCTTGTGCCAGACTAAAGTATGTTGAGTAAATAACAAAACATTGATGAAAAAAGGGATTATGCTAGAAATCAAATTAAGACCATTATTTTTAGAAGAAAAATTAAAGAACAACAAGCTAAAATAGAAAGAAAAAAGATAAGACCCCAATATTCCACTAGATTCCAACAGACTATTTTCATGCTTGATATTATTATTGTCATTTGTTACTATAAAGCAGCAAAAAAGTAACATCTCAGCACAATTTTTATTCGGACAACACTGTTAAAATTCTCTAACTCGGTGAATGATAAACAATTTCCAGTTCAATCAGGTCACCAGTTCCAAAGTAACTTTTAATAAATTATAAATTGACTAAATCATCTGTACAAAAGAGATAACTCTCAGTCTATTAACCCTTTTATTGCTGCATTGTCAGAGCATTACTGCCTGGCTGTGCTGGCCCAGTTGGGCAAAAATTAGGAATTGCCATTTTAAAGGAAATAAATGGCTATGAAGACACCAACTGCAATTTTTCATAGACACAAACATTTTGGTTTCAATAGGACACTCCTCGGAACAACACAGAATATAATAAAAATACAAAGTCACAAAACAGGTCATATTGTATCCTACTATATTTATATACTGGTTTGGTAATATCATTAAGCAGTAGTTGGTTTACAGCAAAAATGTTAAGAACCAACATCCTGAAAATGCATATATATATATATAGTTAAGTTATGAAGAACTTGGTAATCTGTATGGGTAATCCCAAGGAGGATGAAATCCAGAGAGCTCAATGTAAATCCAGAGCTAATATTTAAAAAAGAAAAACAGACCACTTTAAGGTACCATTATAATAATTTTTTCACCAGAGCCCTTTTAAAAGGATGCCGGATCATCAGATAGCACTTTTTAAAAATGAAATGGAAACATTTTGGAAGTGCTATATGATCCACATCCTTTAAAATGGCTCTGAAATAATTTTATAATGGTACCTTAAAGTGGTCTGTTTTTTTAAATATATATATATATATATATAACGCTAATAAACTTATAAATGTAAGCAGCTATACTTGTGCGGCAAAACCTTAGGTGTTTTAGCTTGTGAATGATCAAACTAATACCCAAGGGAAAAAAAAAGGGTAAAAAAAAAAAAAAAAGAAAGAACTAAGAACATGTACTTCCGGCAAAAATAATCATCTAGAATCTAAGTTCAGAGTCCAAAGAAAAAACCTCCGACACAAGTAAAGTAAAATAACTAAACAAAGTGCTCAATAGAGCAAAATAAGTAAATAAACCTAAAGAGCCAGACTAACATACCTAGGTTTCACCTACACGGATTGTCAGGGCGGACAATCTGTGTAGGTGAAACCTAGGTAGGCTAGTCTGGCTCTTTAGGTTTATTTACTTTATATATATATATATATATTTGTAGTGTGTGTGTCAACAGCAGGCATGTGAGTTTTCTGAAGACATAAGTACGATGACAGCAGTGGAAGAGTTAGTTCTTAATTACAGTTATTGCCCTTTATAAGAAAATGAGATGAAGCAGCAGAGAAGAATCCTTGAGCTTGCTGCACTTCTTAAGCAATAATGGAAAATATTGTGACAATAGAAGTAATAATAATAAAGCTTAAGGATTATTAGCATTTGCAAATTATTATAATATTAATTCCAGAAATAGAAAGGGATTTGAAATTGATTGCAGGTTGCCAAAATTGACATTTAATCACATTATAATGATGAGGATGCAAGGGAGTAAGTCAGGAAGAGTATGTGACACAAGGAAGAAAGTGCTTGATGACATGACACAGCAAACGCATAGTGATACAACACAGAAATGGCATGGTGACGAGACGCAGAAACGGAATGGGTACGAGACGCAGAAACAGCATGGTGATGAGATGCAGAAACAGCATGGATGGATGTTGGATTTAACGGCATGTCAACTCCTATTGAAACGGCATGGTGATGAGACACAGAAATGACATGGTGACAAGTGATTGGAGGTTGCCAAAGTTGGCATTTAATCACATGATGATGTTGAGGATGCAAGGGAATAAGTCAGGAAGAGTATGTGACACAAGGCAGCAAGTGCCTGATGACATGACACGGCAAATGAATGGTGATACAACACAGAAAGGACATGCTGATGAGACACAGAAAGGTCATTGTGACACAACAGATTAAAGGCATTAAGGGAAAATGATCAGATCCAACTTACTTTGTCCGATTCATAGTTACCCATTCTGATGGTCAAATCAGAGAATCCCCAAGCAAGGTATTTATTGTAGTTTGGAGGAATAAGCACTTTGTTCTGTTCCACAGCCAAAACATATTTGTCATTGTGGATGATCTGCCCGACCATACTCTTTAATTCTGGAAAAAAAAAAAAAAAAAAAAATTTAAAAAGCATTAAAAAATAGCCATCTTTTTTAATCCTGTTAAAAAGAATTGAAAAAACTTTCAATAAGAAATTAATATCGATTGCAGGGACTGGGCAATTTTAAGCCTTAGACCATATTAAACCAGTCTTGTGCCAGATCTCACTACTGAGTGTGTGTGTGTGTAGGGGGGGGGAAATAAATTTCAAGTAATATCTGTTCTTCTCATCTCTAATGGTAATCCTTGGCATTCCTTGACCAAGCAGTTACTCAAGTTATGCTTTTCTTTACTCCCTGGTCAGATCAAGCTGAGATCAAAGTGTAGTATATATTCTCTTCATCTCTATTGATAATGCTAATATTAGCAATTTCCATATAAGGAAACATCCATAATTCATTGACTGAACAGTCAGAGCAACTCAAGTTAGGCTTTTTTTATACTCTGTTCATTGGGCTGAGATCAGAGAGTAGTATCTGTTCTCATCTCTAATGGTAATATTAGCCAGCTCTTTCCTTATAAGGAAGCATTTAACATTAACTGACTGAATATCCAGTGATACTTTTGGTTGAAATTTGTTGTGGAAAATCTTTCTATTAAAACAATTTTTCAAGAAAATAAGTTTCCCAAGGCCAATAATTGTTATTGCTCTTTCCAGTACTGATGAAGAGGAGTTTCCTTCCTAACCTTTTGTTTGAAGTAGTGTGGAATATCAACATCTTGATCATGTCAGTATTTTCTTTTCCGAGTTACATGTGCTATCCATTTTAGTTGTTGCTTTTGTTGTGGAAAGTCCTCAAGTGATGTGGTTTCTGCTATTTGGTACACTTCTTTGATTCTGTAGTGCCAGTCAACAAGTTTCAAAGAAGGATAGGCCTCACTAAAATTGACAGGGTTTAATTTGCTGAAAGTCATTTTTAACCATTAATCTGAGAAAGTAATTGTATACAGTTGACTGCTTAGATATTTCTGAACAAATTTAGTGCAATATGGCATCCATACAAAAGTCTTGATCCGACGAGGCTGTTTAAAAGGCTTGATCCGACAAGGCTGTTTAAAAGTCTTGATCTGAAGAGGCTGTTTAAAAGTCTTGATCCGACGAGGCTGTTTAAAAGGCTTGATGTGATGAGGCTATTACGGTAGTTTTTAGGTTTTATAGTAATTTGTGGCATTGGGCGAAACTACCCCAAACCTATTCTGTTCACTTTCTTTATATACTAATAATTGTAATAGATAATAATAACAAAAATAGTACTGACCTTTGAAAGGCTGCATTGTCGGTTTGAGATTGTCTACATTATGGAAGAAGAGTTTATCGGCAGCTCCACTTGATGTTGCAGACATTGGAATTGGGTCAAGGTTTCGAATGTTTAGTCTCTTCTGAGGATGAGGTTTCTTAAACAGCTACAAAAGGAAATATGCACAAGTTTAATTCCATTCAAAATATCTCAAAGGAAATAATTTCATCTGGTTAGAAAGCAAGTTCACATGGTTTATAAAAGATCACATTTATTTTTGTTTTAAATTATTTGACTCCAAGCTAGGCAATAAAGCCACTAAGATGCAAGAGGTTATTGAGAATAAAAAAACTGAGGAAACCTTACTGAGGAGAAAGGACAATAAAAAGAAAAAGATTAAAAAAGACAGATGATGATGATTGACAATGCATTTAAATTTTTGAAGATTGTAGTTGATAAGAAAGCAAGAAGCTAGAAGAGAGTTCCACAGGCAAGAGAGAAAACGAATAAAATACAACTTACAGTTACATCTAACAATTTCAATAGTAAAATAATGAGACCTAACTACCAATCTAGTAAAGTGATTAAATTCATTCAGTCAAGTTACTAAAGAGGAAAGCTCATCAGAACAATTGCCATTAAAAAATATTTAAAGAAAAAGCCTAGTAAAGCAATGGTATGGTTCTTGGAAACTGATTGAAGCTAAGATGTTAGGTCAGGATCAATAAAATTGCAGATTTTTCTTTGGATTTTATCAAGAATCTCTAGATACATAGCAAAAGCATCATACCAGGTGTAACAGCAATATTCAATGCATGGACAAATGGTAGACTTATAAAGGTGTAAGACAAGATTCAGGCAAGAAAAATTATTAGCACGACACACTGAACCAACTTTCCTAGCAACAGACTTATCAATTGACTTGATATAATTATTCCAGTTCATGCCAGTGGAAAACCTTAGACTGAGGAAGTGTAACAAGTTACTGTCTTGGAGGTTAGCATTAGCCATGCCAATGAAGGAAAAAAAAGTTTCCCTAAGATGATTAAAAAAGAGCAGTTTAGTTTTGGAGGTGTTCAAATTAACAACTGAGTGAAATGTAAGAACCTGGATGCAAATTTACATTTCACTATTTTTGACAGATCTTCTATTACTACAATGTGCGATAATTAACAGTAAAAGTGATAAAAGCAAAAGCATCATGAAACTGAATAAAATTGGCTAGACTGTAGACACACATAAAAAACAAATTTAAGTTTAAAATTTCAGTTTTACACTTACACTTTTCAACAGTAAAATGGTGAGACCTAACTGCCAATCTAGTATCACGCTTATATTCAAGTCAAGGTATCAAAGAGGAAAGTTCATCAGAACAATTGGCATGAGAATATTTAAAAGGGACAGAGAAGGTATGTTTAGATGGAGAGAAAGTGATTGAAACCAAGATGTCAGTTGTGTTCACTTCCAGGTTATTTTGGTTCTTCACCAATATCCTTCAAGTCCCAAATTCGTATTTAGTGTCCAGGACGTCACTTCCACAAGGCACCTAGATCCTTTGACATTATGAGGTGACACTGAATAGAGAGCTTACTCTAGTATCTCAGAGGGTGAATCCAGTACATAGTGGGGTGAGCACAGATCAACTCCATTTAGAACAAAGGTTCCTGGTGGAGATTCAAGTAGATTAAGACTTTTAGTCTTCCCTGGCATGAATCACATGTAACACACACAATATATATATATATATATATATATATATACATACATACATACACACACACACACACACACACACACACGCACGCACGCACGCACGCACGCACTTATAAATAAACTGTTTTTCAAAAGAAAATCTTTGATATTAAAAGATAGAATTTATTAAATACATCAAAACTTTCATTCATTCTGATAATCTACTATCTATATTTCTCATGTTGTCTGTCTGTGTGTCTGTCGTGGGCATTGTTACCTCACCCAGGCTGCATTTCTCACCCGATTTCGATGCGGTTTTCACCACAAGTTTGCAAATGGATGCCTTAAGGACATGACGCAGCCTGATTTTTCAGTTCGGACTCAGGTTCTGAAAAAAATCGCTAATCGAAAAATCTGCTTACAGAAGGAATTATTGCATTTCAACCAAATTTGACACCCTCTTAGAGTCTACCTTTGGAAGTGTTGTCCAGAAGTTTCATGACCATGGACCCCTAAACAGCGTGGAAAATCGATAAAACCCAAAAGCCGATATGCCCAGATTGCACCTGAACCGCATGTTGGATTTTAGCGAAAACCGATCGGATTTACGAGGAGGCCATTGGGAGTCACCATGTGAAGTTTCAACTCTGAGCGCCCCCCAAACAGAGTGAAAATGGACAATCGGTCAACCCTTAAAAATGTTTTTCCGGTTGGGTATTTCCTAAATGCAGATTAATTTAAGGTCACACTATGCGCGTGAAGAAACAGGTTAGTGCATGCAGTGCTGTATGAGTCGTATGAGTCGTATGATTTTTGAATCAAGCACGGGCAATGCCAGGCCATGCTTCTAGTTACATATATATTTACATGGAATACAAAATGCACATATAAAAATTCACTGGAAATTATTTTACTATAGAAATTCATTGAAAATTATTTTACTATAGAAATTCATTGAAAATTATTTTACTATAGAAATTCATTGAAAATTATTTTACTATAGAAATTCATTGAAAATTATTTTACTATAGAAATTCATTGAAAATTATTTTACTATAGAAATTCATTGAAAATTATTTTACTATAGAAATTCATTGAAAATTATTTTACTATAGAAATTCATTGAAAATTAATTATTTTTCATATAAAAATTATTTTACTATAGAAATTCATTGAAAATTATTTTACTATAGAAATTCATTGAAAATTAGTTGTTCCTCCAGAAAGGCTCAGCAAATCAATAGGCAAATGCATTGCCATTTTTTAAAATTATTTCACCCCAAGCAAGGCAATAAAGCTACTATGACACAAGAGTGTTAGAGAATATGAGAAAAATGATATTAAAAAGAGAGAACAGTAAAAGAATAAGAATTAAAAAAAGAAAAAAAAAACAGAAGATAATGACTAACATTGCACTTAAATTTTTTGAAGATCAAAAAAAAAAAAAATTTCCACAAGAACCTTCCACAAGTGTGATATAAGAAATCATTAGCTTGGAACTTGGAATGATGAAACCTAGCTGCCAACATTGCAAATTCTTCTTTGGATTTTGTCAAAAATCTCTTAGTACATAGAAGCATGACACCAGGTGGAACATCAATATTAGACTTATAGATATGTAAGACAGATTCAGGTGAGTAAAATTGTCTAGGACATTCCTTCCAAAAATGAATTTGTATAATTAAGTTCATAAGTTGAAAGTTACACTTACTAAACTCCCTGTTACTCTGGCCTTGTGCCAAACAAGGGTATATTTAGTAAGTAACAAAAGCTTGCAGATTCTTGGGATTTTATCAATATTTTTGATACATGAGAGGTTTTTATTTGGAAACTGTGACATTTTTTTCCAAATTGATAAACTGATAGATATTTATGAGTAAACAGATTGGTTACAATTGGCATTATTTTTTTTTTTTTTTTTTTTTAATTCTGAATCTTAGCAAGTTCAATGCTGAAGAACATTTTCACTACTTGTTAGGCAACAAATGACATTTATTATGTCACATCCCCTTTTTGACATTCACACCTTGTTTTCATTTTGTCCTCTTTGCACACTTGTGATTTATACCTGCTTTCAAGCAGTGCTATTTAGTTTCTGCAAAATCACCAGTGTTCTATTCTTGATGTACAAAGATCAGTTGAAAAATATTAGCACTGAAGATGTTAAGATTCTTTTGCATAAACATAAAGCTTCAGAGAATCAACATATATGCTACACTATAATATAAGGGCCTCCTTAGTAGGCCTGATGTAGAAATAAAGATGATATAGAAGCTGTTTAATAAAGGGGGAAAGAGAAATGACAGCAAGGCTTCAACAGAATCAGCAACAGTAAAAAGAGAAGCTGCAGTGATCGCAGTCAAGTGTGACAAGCAGCAGTACTCATCAGCCTTCAGGTTAGGTTTAAGCTTCCAAGTTCTCTCATGGGATAATAGACTAGGAGATTAAAGAATTGGCTTGTGAATTTGATGACAGTAATTATGAGTTCAATCCCTGGGCCGGGTAGTGCAGACAGATTCATTAGAAATAGGTCGAGCAATAACTGAGTTGTACTGGAAAAAGAACATGATATCCCTAAGCACCGTCAGTGGAATGAGAACAATCTACTGACAAAGATTTTTCCCTTTTTTTTTTTTTCCATAGCACCCTATGTAAGGCAGTAGAGCCACTAAGACACAAGAGGTTACCAGGTGTGAAAGAATAAAGAAAAAGAGAAACATTATTAAGGAGCAAGAACAAAGGAAGAGTAATAAAGAAAAAAATAGATAACAATTGATCAGAATTGGATGGGAAGCGTAGAACTGGAAGAGTGTTCCACAAACAAGAAACACGAGTTCAGTCCGAAATTCCCTGAAGATTACCAGATTGACACCTGATGAAGACCGAAGAACATAATGGCCGAAACTCTGTGATAACAACAACATAGATGAAGACAATAGTCCATGCATAAATAATGGGTATTTGGACATTTGGTCAATGGATACTTGACCAAAAGACATTTCGCTGAACAGACATTTGGCTGATGAACATTTAACCAAATATGTTGTGGTGTACTTACATGTATGTCACACTCTTTTATCGTAATGTGCTACATATATTTATATTTATTTACTGTATTAATTTATAATTTTTGGGTTTTTTTTGTTTTTTTACAGGCTTTTTTTTTTTAATCTATTCTGTATATATTATATTTTACTTCAAATATTTCTTTCTGTAAGTATTTTGAGCAAAAGCACATCTTACTACAGTAAAAATCTTAAGCTTTTACAATATGAAAGATCTTTCAATTTCGCTTTATCTTAAAAGGATGAACTAGCTTTTATCTTACTGTTAAATATGAATTTAAATAATTAGGTGCTACTTTTTACCCAAATACACTCAAATATTTTTAAAAATACTAATTTCAATAAACAAATATTGAAATAAGAAAACTTTTAGATTTAGTAATTTAATCACTTGAAATTCAGTGGTAATGATTAGTCCTATTCCATCTTATATTACTGCTAATTTAAATACTTAAAGTATTGTTTGTTACTATTTTTACTTGTACTTTTTTGGTGAAATGTCCTTCAGCCAAATATCTGTTCAGCCAAATGTCCAGCCATGAAATAATGACAACGTCCCCTTGCAGAAATTTAGATAAAAACTAGTTTGTTATAATAACCAAAATATTATTTTGACAATTCTTAAAGGAAAATATGCACAAGATTGATAGAATGTGAATTATGGACAAGGAACTCATAATTGAAATTCAGTAAATAACAATTACTGAAGGGTGGGGATGGTTAAAAGGGGAAGTATGGAGAAAAAACTAACCTGCTTTGGAATCTGGCCAAAATTATTGATGAAGCCAATCGTAGCGTTTTTCTTGAGAGGGTCATCGATGCTGTAGATGTCAACATTTCCCTCGTAGAACAAGTAGTGGAACACGTTGGTAGCGTCCACTGCTGGAGGCCCACGTTGTTTGTAGCCAAAAATCAAATCAATCCATTCATGGAGATGACTGCTCACATAATCACATTCTAGGGCCTAGAGTGAGAGAGAGTGAGTGAGAATAAGAGAAAGAGAGAATAAGAGAAAGAGAGAATAAGAGAAAGAGAGAATAAGAGAAAGAGAGAATAAGAGAAAGAGAGAGCGTGAGAATGAAAGAGTGAGAAAGAAAGAGTGAGTGAGAGAGAGGAGGAGAGAGAATTTTTGAAAAGGTGAGAAAAGAAAGAGGAGGAGAGAGAGAAAGAAAAAGGAGGAGAGAGAGAAAAGAAAGAGTGAGGAGAGAGAAAGAAAAGTGAGTGAGAGAGAAAGAAAGAGGAGGAGAGAGAAAAAAAAAGAGGAGTGAGAGAGAAGAAAGAAAGAGGAGGAGAGAGAGAAAGAAAAAAGGAGAGAGAGAAAGAGAGAAAGAGAAGAGAAGAAAGAGGGAGTGAGAGAAAGAAAGAGTGAGAGAGAGAAAGAAAGAGTGAGTGAGAGAGAGAAAGAAAGAGTGAGTGAGAGAGAGAAAGAAAGAGTGAGTGAGGGAGAGAAAGAAAGAAAGAGAGTGAGTGAGAGAAAGAAAAGTTATTTATAATTTTACTTGCATTTAAATTGATTGAAATCTGTCAAAGTTGAAAAAGTATAAAAACAAAACAAGCCAAACCAAACCAAAATAGGGTACTCTTTTGTACCAAATACAATTGCTGTCTGAAAATTTCCTATTTATAAGGGTTCCAATTTAGTGATACTATGATTGGGACACCCGCATAGAAGGGGAAGGCATGAAATTTTTATCTTGGTCACAAGTGTGTGTGATATAGTCTTCAAAGCACTCAATCACCTGACAAAATGGGAATAAAAGAATAAATGAAAAAATTGGGGGTCAAGTGACAACAAAACTGGACATTGGGTATTTCCAGTTACAGGTCTATATTAATGGTTACAGATGGGACCAAGTTGCATTCCAGATTGCTCTTAAAAGAGGGAGAGAAAGGATTTATTATTGTTGTTGTTCCGATGACGCTTGTTCAAGTTACCTGCCAGGCATTGTGATGCTGGGTTGGGCAGACAGTAGGTAGGACAAGGGGTCTAAGAGAAGAGTCGATCTGTTATGGCAGAAGTTGTCCCAAGTGTCACCTACCTATGTACCATTACCCAGACTGAGCAAGTGAATCCCTGAATAAAACACCTAAAACACACACTGCTACAAATGATTGGTTTGGTTTGTTTTACGGAATATCAACCTCGATGGGTTATTTATTGCCGACAAGTAATTTTTTTTTCAAAAATGTGTTGCTGGTAACTATTTTTTTTTTTTATATGTATAGCTGGTAATTTTTTTTTTTTTTTAAATGTGTAGCTAGTAATATTTTTTTTTAAAAATGTATTACTAGTAGTATTTCTTTTTTTTCAAAAAATGTATTGCGGGTAATAATTTTTCTTCAAAAATTTATTGCTGGTAATGATTTTTTACAAAGTATTTCTGGTATTAAAACCTATTTTTACACTTTCGTAGTGTTTTGACTCCAGTTTAGAGGTTAACTATTTACCCATAGCAGGGACCCTAACAGGTGCTACCACCCCGGGTCAGGATAGATCTGGGAACACCAGCAATTATGAGGTGGTTCATGCCCCTCAAAACCTCCTGACCAGAGGCCTTGCTGTTGAATGTAGTTTATCATTTTACCCAGAATGCGGATGTAGTTTATCATCTTACCCAAGATGGGCTACAAATGTGAATACAGATGTGATAGAGGATAGTCACAGGCCAATCGGTAGAAAGCTGGGGTAGGACTACATTGTATGTTTACAGTTCAAATAATTATTGAGCATGTATGTTTTTGCTATTGCCCAATTTGTAATTGTGCCACAGAGATAATTATTTGGAAAATAACGAGCGTGCTCTACAAGTAAGCCTGGCTGGGTTAGGGGGAATGAAAGGAAATGATTTAATGATGGACACATTTGATTTCGGGGCAAAGAGTAAAGATTGAAAATAAAGTTAATTCATCAAGTTTGTTGCATCTGAGAAGCATTTCATTGATGATAAGTAAAAAATTACTTACCTCTCGGTGAACTCTGATAAATTCCTGTGCGTCTTGTTTTGACCAAGCAGGCAGAATCACATCGCCCAACATCACGCCATTTTGTTTACTACCTGCAAAAAAAAAAAAAATCATAACAAAAACAGGTTTTATTTACTGGCTTTTAGACTTGCTGTCAGTTTAAAGTGGTACCTTCTTCCCCAACCACCACTTATATTGCAATCATTTGGCTTAAAACTCACATTTTTTTTAAATTTTTTTTTTTTTTATTTCACATGAAAACTTGGAAATTTTTCAACATATTTTAGTGAAATTTAATTTTAATTACATACACTACTTAACAATTACAAGTACATACATGTAATTGTTAAGTAGTGTATGTAATTAAAATAAAATAAAATTTTACTAAAATATATATATATAATTATTTATATGTTATATAAGGTCTTATTTAAAGCGCCCATATCAGATATAGAGTTAACATATTTGGTTAGATTGATGTGAGTTTGTGACCTGAGTTTCACGCTTTTGCAATCGTCAGCACAAAAGCGTGAAACCCAGTGTCACAAACTCACATCAATCCAACTAAATATATATATATATATATATATATATATATATATATATATATATACACACATATATATATATGTGTGTGTTTTGAAAATAAAAAATATTAAAAAATTAAAATTTTCAGACACACTGGGTTGTATATTTATATTTTTTTTGTTTTATTATTTCAATTAGATTCCTCGACTAGTTTCGGCCAACATGGCCATCATCAGGAGAGAAAAAAAAAATCTGCTTGTTAGTAGCAGTGAACTACAGAAATCTATGACTTGATGAAAAAAATGAACTTTTGCCTGTAGTTTTCATTTGTTTTTTTATTTTTTTATCATAAACTTTGGTCAGTCCTTGTGTTGGTCAAACAGTCTCTTAAGTTGTTATTTAAGACCAGAGCTGGATGGATTCATGCTGTTCTGAATTCCCTTAGTCATTTTGACAGTTTTATTGGTTCCTGGAAAGGGGATGTATCTCTGTTAAGTGTGTGTTATTTAGTTCTTAGTGAGTGAGTGAGTATGATGCATGTAAGTGTGTATATTAGTATAGATGTGTGTTATCATTTAGCTCTTTAAGGAGTGAGTGAGCATGATGCGTGTAAGTATGTATATTAGTATGGGTGTGTGTATAAGTGTGAGGCCTCACCACCGCCGCAAGTCTGTCTTGTGTGGGTGAGAAATGTGGGTAGGACCCGATTTGTGGGGTCATATATTAATTCTATGTTGATAAATTTATGATTAAGCCTGTCTAGATGGAGTGTTTTGAGGTGCAGAATCCACTTATCTTCATGGTCTTCTAAAATTTTTCTAATGTTATCTGCTCTGATCTTTTCTATTTTCTCAATTATAGTGAATTTGACATGAGTTTTAAAATCTAGTTTTTGTAGGTGGAAATGTTGTTCTACAGGTAATAATCTTTCATGGGGAGCCGGCTTAATTGGATTGCAATAATTATTAATTCTGTAGTGAAAGGGCCATTCAAATTTTCCCACATATTGATCTGGCATAGTGTGCATTCTAGGAGGTAAATTATGTTATGACTTATACAGTTAGAGTCATGATAGATTTTCAAAGTAGATTTAGTAACTGAGATAGTGAACAAATTGGTGTCTCTAATTGTTGTGTTACAGAATAAGTTTCTTTTGTTGTTACATGGTTGGGAAAATTGTATCATTGTTGTTTTTGGTTTATTATGGATTACCTTATCCTCTGAAATGTGGTTACTACGTATAATTTCCTTTAGGTTCTTAAGTCTATGATATGCTAGAAGGCCAGGTTCCTCAAACAATTTTTTTAGGTCTGGTTTGATATGTAGTATTTCCCAGTGACTTTTTATTATTGGGGATAGTGGAGGCAGAGTAGGGTTGAAAGTGGTTACTAGAGGGATTCAGCTGGGTTTATTTTTAATCTTGTACATCTCTTCTCTGGAAATTGTTTTATTTATCTGTTCCCTGATTAGGTGTTGTTTATAGCCATATATATATATATATATATATATATATATATATATATATATATATATATATATTGGTGATATGGGCATGTGGTTAGAAGGTTTGCTTTCTGACCATGAAACGTGGGTTTGTATCTCACCACAGTTGATTGGTCAGGAAGGAGACTTCCTGATCTTATTGGTTGATTGATCCCAGCATGCAACACCTTTGGAGAGTGCCTGAAAACCATGCCTCAGGTAGACCCAAGCCTTGTGAGTGAAACTGGGTAGACAGAACACTTGGGAGCCTCCATAGCTGTGCTAGCATGAAGTCACAAGTCACTGTGATTGGGGGTGTGAGTGTTCACATTGTTTATCACACTAGATAACATGCTCTCTCCCAAAAACTGTAACTAAGGTCTGCTCAGTTCAGTTGGGCTGTGTGGGTGTTGAACAAACACAAATGCGCCTGAGCGAGCGTCTGCAATAGGGATTGGCTAGCTGCCCTAGTAGACAGGTATCCTTGAATATGAGTGGCCATCTATTATGTATGTATGTATGTATGTATGTATGTTTGTGGATGTAGATGTAAAAAATGATATTTAAATAATTAAATAACTTCACCATTTATGCACTAGACTATTATTAACAAAGCACAAATTTAAACATACATGTGCCCACATACATGCATGTGTGTGTGTACATATGTATGCCTATATATGTGCTCAAAAAGATGTGTACATACAGGCATATAATTACAGACTAAACTTAATTATAAATCTAACCCCCTACAATTAATACTTATAATATCACCAAAAACGGAATAATAACCCAGTGGATAAAATATATATATATATATATATATATTGGAGGCACAGTGGAGTAGTGGATAGCGACTCAGACTGAGGAATCGGTGAACCAAGTTCAAATTCCAGTTGAATCCATTACATTCACTTATGTGCTAATACCCTTGGGAAAGGTATGGATCCTCTTCCCCCTCCAGCTATGGGTAAAGTAGCAGGACAGACTGGGTTCTATAGCCTTGGATGGCAACTAGTCTAAGAGAAGGACAACTCTTAATTCAAAACCTGCGGAGGGTCATTTGGAAACATTATGGCACCTAGTGAACCAGGTTTCTGTATTCAGCCCTTCAAAAAGTGTGGTTGGTTCTGCACAAATCCTTCACCTTCATATAATCAAGTCATATGTGCTGGTGTCTGGGATGTTGGTTCCTAGGAACTGAGCTGCTTGACCCTCATATGTCAAATACAACAAGATAGTCCACCATATATATATATGTGTGTGTGTGTGTATATAAGTATTTACTATTTAAGCATTAACATCATTGGTAACATATATAGCTCAAAAATATTTATTACCTAAGCATTAATACCAATTATTTATATAAAAGATAAATAAATGAAATACAACTTCCCTAGTAAAAAAAGCTAAAATGCACATAAATAAAAATAAGTCACATGTCTAGAGCCAGATTCAAACCTGACTATGTCTGCAACAGATAAAAAAAAAAAAAAGAAAAAGGCCAACATGACCACAATGGACAAGTGCACACACAAATACATAGAATACAGAAGAAAATTTACACCAGTGCTAAATGGGTATAAAAGGAAAAAACTGAAAAAATATAAGTAGTAAATTGCTGATATCCCCTGAAGAGTGGATGAATATATCTGTCTACGAAACTCTGAAGTTGGAATGCTGAATGTAACATCAATCAGCTAAGTGACAAATTTTATACACACACACACACATATATATATATATATATATATATATATATATATATATGAAGAAGAGGAAAAGTAAATTTTGGTATTTGAAATAAAGATTATAATATTTAGTTTATGGGATGTTATTTAGTACTATGAGTCATGATGTAGGTAGCTTAGTAGGAATTTGTTTTCATATCTATATTTAGAAATGAGCTTTGATTTATTTACATAAATAAATAAATAAATTAGAGCTCATTTCTAAATGTGTGTATATATATATATATATATATATATATATATATATATATATAAACATAAAACATTAGGCAGCATATAATTTATATACAAAAAATAATCACATACTTCTGATTGATTCTATGTGTGATTATTTCTTTGTATGTAAATATATATATATATATATACATACACACACACACACACACAGGCACCTTTTATATTTTGGTATTATCTGCTGATATTTGTCTCATGTTCCTAGTTGTATTTTGGTTGCATGTGACATAATGGTCAATATATGCATGAAGTGCCTGTTTCGGTAATATACACAACAAAGGCATATTGAATGAAACATTGATATCTTTGCAGTTTGGTTTATTCCAGTGTCAAATCTTAGAGAACATTCAAAACTCACACAAACCCAACTTGTCATCCCTATTCTTATGACCAAATAGATACTGGCAACTTACCGAGATCGAAGTTGTTAGCATTTACCAGAAAGTCTGGCAAATAAAAAAATTCTGGAATTAGTTCCTTCACATCGGCCATGTTGTGCTTGGACGCAGAAAGCCAACATTCTTTGACACTGTGGAACATTCGGTCAGCAAGATCAAAATGTCCACCCTGGAAAAAAAAAAAATTAATAATGGTAATATTAACCTGAGTTAGTAATTCATTTTGCGACTCAAAGTTTATATGGCTGATTAAAATGTTTACAAAAAAGAATGACAGAATTGAAATTATGGATTAAATTCAGAAAAATAATTAAATAAAGAACAAGGAGAAAATCTCATAAATGTTTTGATATTTATTTACCTTCATCAGAAATTTTGAGAAATCAAATAATATGGAATTGTGCTTCAATTTTTAAATTCTGTGTAAGATGTAAGTTCCTAAGAAGTGCTGCTTTGTGGAACAGACTCCTGGCAGGATGTTTTCCTAATTACTACAATCTTGACTTTTTCAAGTCTATTCTTAAACATTATCTTTCCTGCATAACCCCATGAACTCTCTTATGCCCATGCAACACCAAACAGTTACTCTACCTTGATAGGCTCTTGGGGGAACATTAATAGAAAAAGAAAATACTTCCATTGATTGTGCAGACACCTATATATCTTATGGCATTAGTATTTATGTATATATCAATTTTTAATATCTGTCTATATTTCTGACAAAGTATTGTAACTATTTACATTATTTACATTGTTTGGAATCTTGTCCTCATCTTTGTTGTGGCCCAGTGGATAAAGTGTTGGTTGAAGTAATCTAGTGACTTGACCTAAAGAGTTGTGAGTTCAATACCCGGCCAGAGCAGAGTTGAACAGAAACTTGCAAAGTTAAGTTACTAAAGGTAAATAACTGAAATTAATATATCTGGAAGAGGCATGGTATGTGGAACTAGAACAATCTACCCCAGTGGATGAAATAAAGGGTTCAGTTTGAAATTTCATTTACCTGAAGAAGGCTAAAGTGTACAATGCCTGAAATGTTATGATGAGGACAACAGTCCAAACAATGTAAATAATATAAATAAATTTTTAAATTTTATGTTGTTTTGTTTTCATTGGTTGTAATTTAAAAATGTTGGCAGCTATTTTGGGGACACAAGAGTAAATTGACTGATTTTTTTTTTTTTTTTTTACAGTTTATCAACCCTTTGCAGGTTACTTAAAACCAGAAAATATTTGGAGATTGTAAGAATTTTTTTTAGATCTACTGTTACAAGTCCTACTATTTAACCCATAGCTTGAGGCAAAAGAGGTGGATTCATACTTTCCTGAAGGCTATATGCATGTAAGTGAATATAACAATCCTGACTGGAACTGAACTCAACAGATTTTGAGTTCTGATTTTAAATTGTCATAATAGAAGATTTGCCAAGAAAAGTGAAATGTTGTAAGAACTTGAACACAAAATTGTTGCAAGCAACAAAAAACAATGAATATAAAACAACCGACAATGGATGTTATTAACAAAAAGAATTACATGTGTACATAATTGTAATGAAAGGAAAAACACATTGAAACTATCAGTGTGTGTGTGAAAAATAAGCATATGTGATAGACACATGTGTATGTGTGTTTGAGGGAGTTTAAAAGTCAAGAGAACACCAAAGAAATAGACACGCCTAGTCATCAGTGTTCTTATTCAGCATTTGACTACATCTGGAAACAAGAGTTAAAAAAAGAGAAAGAGAGAGGATATGATTGCCTTTTTACAGGCTTAAAGAGCAACTCCCAGCAGGCATTTTGGAAAAGACAAGTAGGATAACCCACAAATTCACTGTGGATGATAGATATAGCAATCAAAGCACTTTTTATACATTTTCACCCTCGTAAAAAAATTTTTTCGTTTACTTTGTTTTGTTGATTTTTTTTATCACTTTTGTTATTAAATATTCCACATTTAATCACTAGATCATCAACAGCAATTTTATGCCCAGGTTCTTACAACTTTCCCCTTTCTTGGCAGGCCTATTATTACAATGAGGAATACTTAACAACAACAAAAAAAAATAAACGAAACAAAAAAATAAAAAAAAATAAATTAAAAAAAATTTAAAAGTTTAAAATTTCAGTGCCTCCCATCTTTATGCACATGTATAGTTACATCAACGGAAATGTCACTTTAGTCTGATGAAATCCTAAAGAATAAAATGCATCGCATGAAAAGGTTTTTCTCACTTTGTCATTAACTTTCCTAAAATTGTTCTGGCATATAAAATTTACATATCATTTTCTCCAGTACAAGTAAGTGTTTTATTTATTTTAACTTTATTCATTTTATTTATTTTCATTCATTTTGAAAAAAAGAAAAAACAAAAAACAAAAAAAAGCACAATCAAGATCAAAGTTTTTGTACAGTGTACGATACAGCCAGGTGGGGTTCTTTTTTTTAAGATTTTTATAGCTTTAAGTTCTTTTTGTTAAACAGGTAAATTGTTAAGGGAAGACTGGCTGTAGTTTTGTTCAAAAAACCATTTGCAGATAAGATTTAGCAAACAATTAGAAAATGCCTTTTGCAAATGATGTACAAACTCACCTGCAATTTGAGGAAATGTTGAGTGAAGGGTTCCATGCGTTCAAGGTATGATGCAACAATCATGGCAGAGGAGTAATGGGTACCATAATGATATGGTGGTGTCTCCCCTGTGTGAAAAAAAAAAAATCTTAAATTTAATTCTACATACTTAACCAACCCATTAATGCAATGGGTCATTTCACAATATTAGTATCATAGAGTTTTCAAACACCCCATTCAAAATATAGAGATTTCTTGCTATTTTTCAAAAAAAAAAAAAAAAAAAAAATAATAATTTCACCCCCCAACCAAGCAAGGTGATAATGCCACTAAGATGCAAGAAATTACTAGGAATGAAAGAGAATGAGAAGATTTTAGTTAGGAGAAAGGACAATAAAATAATGATATGCTGGTGTCTCCCCTGTGTCAAGAAAAAAAAATATTCAAATTTATTTTTGATCTGTGTGACATATTCAACCATCCCCATCCCATTAATACTGTGGGGCAAATGGGCATTGTTTACAGCATTTTGTACCATAGGGTTTTCAAACACCTCATTCAAAATACAGAGGTTTCCGGTTTTTTTATTTGTTTTTATTTTTATTTATTTATTTTTTTTTTTAAAGATAAAAAGAATATAATTTCCACCCAAGCAACACAATAATGCCACTAAAATGCAAGAGGTTATTGAGACTGAAAAAGAATGAAAAGACTTTAGTGAGGAGAAAAACAATAAAAGAACAGGTTTCGGAAAGACAGAAAATGGCGATAGGCATTACATTTAAATTTTTGAAGAGTGTAGGTGGCAGGGAAAGAAAATACAGGAAGAGAGTTCCACAGACAAGAAGTGCGAGAAAAGAAACTATTAGAATAGAACTCACAGTTACATCCAGCTTGTTCAGCAGTAAAATGATGGGACCTAATTGCCAATCTAGTAGTATGCTTACATTGATGCTGTACAGGTAACAAGGAGGACAGCTTATTAAAACAACTGCCATGAAAATATTTATAGAAAAGACAGAGGAAAATAACTGAAGTCGAGATGCCAGGTCAGGACCACTAACATGACAGACCTTTCTTTGGACTTTGTCAAGAATCTCAATATATATAGCCAGAGCACAATATCAAATATAGCAGCAATATTCATTGTATGGACGAATGGTGGATGTATATATGTGCATGTGTGATTCTGATGAGAAAGATTGCAAGGCAGAACACGGTGAATGAACATTCTTAGGAGCAGAGCTAGTAATAGATTCAATATAATCACTCCACTTCATGTCAGTGGAAAAATGTGAGACCAAGAATATGCAATGAGCTACCCTCCTGGAGACTAGCATCAGCCATCTTGATAAAAGACAAAAATGGTTCTCTATGATGATGAAAGATATCATTTAGTTTAGCAGTGTTTTTTTTATATATTATGTTCCTTCTGGTTTTATATAGGAATTAATTCAAAATGACAAAAGTAAAAGTCAAAAGATAACTATAGAATTATTATTTTGTAGCAGTTTTACTATAGGAATGCATTGCAAATGAAAATATAATTGGATTCAGATAAAATCAGACCATTGATACAAGATGAATTTTTTTATTATTTGCAATGTATTAAATGTAGAATATTATTATACTGTAGCAGTGTTTTACTATAGAATGCATTGCAAATGAGGAAGAAAGGGATTGTCAGTGGTCAGGAAAATGAATGCAAGTTACTGATAGAATAGGCTATTATATGTATAATTATTATTTTGTAGCAGTGTTTTAATATAGGAATGCATTGCAAATGAGGAAGAAAGGGATTGTCAGTGGTCAGGAATGAATGCAAGCATTACTGATAGAATAGGGCTATTATATGATGTATAATTATTATTTTGTAGCAGTGTTTTACTATAGAATGCATTGCAAATGAAGAAGAGAGGGATTGTCAGTGGTCAGGAATGAATGAATGCAAGCATTTACTGATAGAATAGATATATTATATATATAATTATTATTTCTTAATTCCTGTTCTTTTATTATTCTCTCTCCTTAATAATGGTTTTCTTTTTCCCCATATTCTTTTTAAACCCATTACTTTACATCTTAGTTTGTTTTAATGCTTTGAGGAAGAAAGGGATTGGTGGTCAGAAATGATTAAAAAATGTTTATTTAAAATGTTTTTTTTTCAACTGTAATAACCTATTAAAATTAATTTGTTCAATATGTGAGCAAAATTCAAGCATCATTTAAATTAGTTTTGATTTTTGTTGAAGTATTCAGTAAATTTAGAATTTTGTTTTAATTTTGGTACCAAATGAGAGGATTACTGAAGATAATAAAATAAAAAAAATCATGAGTTTTCTTTACCTTGAGGGTCATCCCATGAATAGGGCTATTATATTAATTATTAACGTTTTTTTACAGAATTTTAAAATGAGGAAAAAGAATTGTTTCATTGGTCATATTTTGATATTACTGATAGAATAGGCTAAAAAAAAAAAATTTTGTATATATAAATCCCAAATTGGTTTTTATATAAAATCATGCATTGAAATGAGGAAGAGGCTTGTTTGTGGTCAGGAATTCTAATTCCTAAATTACAAAAACAAATTGTTTGAAATCAAAGTTTTCAGCGTTAACCTTGTAGAGTTTTTCTGGCAAAACAAATATAATGAAAAATAGAATAGGGCTATTATATTTTTTTTTTTGTAGCAGTTATTTTTTTGAGGAAGAAAAGGGATTGTCTGGTGTACATATAGAATAATAAAATCCTGTTACATTAAAAAAAAAAAACTTGTCAGTGGTCATAATCCTTGAAAAATGTATTAGATCAGCCTACAATTTTAATGCCAAGTCAGTATTAATCTGTCAAATAAGACCAGAAAATCTCATTCAATATGGTTCGCTTTAGTCTTCACTACACATCAAAGTCTTTCAAAGAGTCACTGATGGTGGCACACACAGTTTTCATGGGTATTTTGTCCCATATTCTCTTCAATTTCACCTTCAGAGCTTCAACATTATGATGTGGAGTATAACGGGCCTTACTCTCAAGAACTGCCTACAAATAAGAATGTGGATATCTGTTAATGAGGTAGGCCATTCGTCCTTGGTGATGAAGCGAGGACAAGTGTCTATATGGCATTACTGTGTTTCATGTTTAGTGTCCAATGTTGATCACCATAAGTGGCATTTTTTTATTTTGTAGCAGTAGCTTTCAAATGTGCACCTCCCAAGATGTCCTTCTTTGTTGATATTTACACCTTGAGGCAGAAAAACAAGAGACTTTCCGCTTTCTGAAATGGCTGCTGAAACCATAACTGATACCGGTTTCTGGGCTTTGAGGCATTTTCCTGAACTGTCAAGAACCGACTCATGACTTGTTGAAAGAACATGATCATTTTGATTATTAAACGTCTGTTCAACAGTGAACAGCTTCTCAGCCATGAAAATGATGTTTTGCAATGTGCCATCTCAATCCCATTTCACTAACTGCTTACTTCTTTAAAACACCGAAAAGACAAATACAAGTTGAGTATCCTTTATCTGATTTCCCAGCTACATAGCACCATTGGCACCAGTTTTTTGTTAGTGATTGTCACAGCAACACCTTCGTTCGTGGATTACTTACATGTTTTGTGCTCAGTAAAGATATTATTCAAAATGTCAAAATCCTGCATTTATATATTTTTTGTAAATAGTGATCATGTTTTTTGTATACAAACAAAGTACAAAACATTATTTTTACATCAAATCTTAATTTCACCATTTAAAATTCCATGTGAGCATTACATGATTTGGGTTATTACCTGTATGGACACAAAAATTTATTAAATTTTATATAAAACTACTCTCAGGGTATATATTATTTATATAAAACTATCTTCAGGGTATATGTCTAAGCTGTGTTATGAAATGTAAAGGGATATCACATTCCCAAGCTGCACCATTTTAGAGATGCTATATATAAATCAAATAGTCTGTATTCCAAAATCCAAAAACAATCTGAAAAGTGAAGCACATCTGGTGCCAAGAATTTCGGATAAAGGATTCACAGACTGTATAGGCATTATTATATATTACAATATATATTATATACATATATTTTATTATATATATCAAACAACTAGAACTTTGTGGCATTATTAAATATTTGAGCAGAAAATGAAAATAGGAAAACCATGAAATTTTAACTTATATTTCTTGTAATAATTTATTTAAAAAAAAAATGACTTCTTTTTAGATGCAGGGCAAAAATGTTTCAACATTATTATTATTATAGGTAGAGTATACTATATCCAAAATTCCTAAATCCAAAAACCTCCAAAATCCGAAAGTTTTTCAGGCGTGGATATGACTCGCCACAAATGAAAAAATCCAGAAAGCACTGGAAAAGTTCCTAGGTGATGTGTAGCCATTGTAAGTGGCCTCCTCTTCCCTGGATAGGGGTTCCCCAGGAATACCAATGAAGAGAGGATTGCCACGGAATAGCCTACATTGGTGACAGTTTTTTTGTTAGTGATCATCTCAGCAATACTTTTGTTCATGGATTACTTATCAGGTGTTTTGTGCTATGCAAAGATATACAAAATGTCCAAGTCCTGCATTTATATATTTTTTGTAAATAGTGATCATGTTTTTTTATACAAGTACAGAAAGTACAAAACATTATTTTTACATGAAATCTTAATTTCATCATTTAAAAATTGGTGTGAGCATTACACGACTAGAGTCATTACCTGTATCTGTATGTACACAAAATTTATTAAATTTTATATGAAACTACCTTCAGGCTATATGTATAAGTTGTGTTATGAAATGTAAAGGGATATGTTAAGGTTTGGGTTCAATTCCCAAGCTGCCCCATTTTATAGATGCTATATACAAATTAAATAGCGTGTATTCCAAAATCCGAAAACCATATATATTATGAAATGGATTAAATCTGACAATTATTTAACATATTTTCTATTTATACATTATTTTTATGGATATAATTCATTTAAGTAAATGGTCTGTTTTTTTAATTAAACATTATTAAATACATTTACCAGCTTGAATGTTCGAGAAGTTTTGTAGAAAATATGGGCTGCTCCCACAGGAATCAAACCTGTAACCCTTATGGAGAACCATCATAAAAATGACGTGTATATATATATATATATATATATATATATATATGACATGAAAAACAATGATACATGGACCACACCGTAATTTTATTTGTAAGAAGACAATATTTAAAAAGAGCTAAAGTAAATGTCTTACAGACCTTGCAATCATAATCAGTAAGAATCTATGGAAATAGAGGGTATTGCATCAAATCATTGTTATCATTATTCCTGAGCAAAATGGACAATTTAATTACTGTATATACTCGCACGTCATGCAACCTTTGAAGACCTAATTTTTTCAGCTAATCTGGCTAAGTAAATGGATCTATAGTTTGGTCAGAGTTGTAGGCAGGGCCAGCAGTACATATGCTAATTTTATATCATCATGTATGATGCAACCCCCTTAAAATTAGCTTCAAAATTAGGTCTTCAAAAGTTGTATGATACGTGAGTATATACAGTAATCCATTCCCTTACTATGTTTCTTAGACTGCAGTCTTATTTGTTAAAGTCTTTTTTATGATTAAGAATTAAATCTGACAATTATTTAACATATTTTCTGTTTACACATTATTTTTATGGATATAATTTATTTAAGTAAATGTTACGTTTTTTAATTAAACAGTATTAATTACATTTACCAGCCTGAATATTTAAGAAATTTTGTAGAAAATATGTTTCTTCGGCAGGAATTGAACCTGTAACCCTTATGGGGAACCATCATAAAAATGACATATAAACAAATATATATATATATATATATATATATATAATATGACATGAAAAACAATGATAAATGGACCACACCTTAATTTTTTTTTGTAAGAAGACAATATTTAAAAAGAGGTGGAGTAAATGTCTTACAAACCTCGCAATCATAATCAGTAAGAATCCATGGAAATACAGGGTATTGCATCAAATCATTGTATGAACGACCAGCCAATGTGTTGAGATGCATCAAATACTGGAAGTTGTTAATCTCCCCTCTCTGAAAAAAAAGGGAAAAAAATCAATCCACACAAAAATCTTTATAGTTTTTGGTCCTTTAGTTGTAAGGATAAATGCAGATGGCTTTGATTAGCGATTTGTGTCCATAGATTCAGAGATCTAGCAAGACTGATAGTTTCTTGTTTATGTTTTTGATGCCTGGATGCTGAGTGACCCTTTCCTCTCAGCTAGTCCCTCAATATAGTTGGGGCCTAGTTGCTGCTCTTTAAATGGGTTTAGTTTACAATACAATTTTGTCGAGGGTATAAAGTAAATATCAATAGTTCTTAAGGTGTTCAAATTTCTTAGATGAAGCATTTTCATTATTAAATGTTTGACTAGTTTTTATTCTCCAGTTTAATTAGTTTGAATTTATTAATTGTAGCTTTTCTGTTCTTAATTTTTCACAAGTCTTTTCTTCATATTGGCTTGAATTTCTAAGATGGAACACTTTCATTATCAATTTTGACAAGTCTAAAAGAAATTGAATGATCACAGCATTGTATTTTCAAATTTCAAACAAGAAAGTTGAAAAATTTTCAAAGACAAAAATTACCAATTCTCTTCCTCGGACACAAATTTCATGTCAGAATTTTCTCAATTCATTCTTCGGATAAAAAGAATAAAGATGATTTTGATAAAAGCAAGAAGAACCTCAAAGACCTTAAATATGCAGAGAGTGTGGTTTTATTGATTATGATGCCCCATAATAGTTGCAACATTAAGTTTATGGAGGTGCATGCAAATGGAAACTCATTATGGGATGTAGGTAATGAAAATACCCTCTTTGTCCCATAATAGCTGCTAGATTTAGTGTATATAGAAATGGACACATTATGGGACAAAGGTATTTAAATCTGTCCCATAACAGCTACATTATGGGACAAACAGACACTTATTATGGGACATAGAAATAAAATACATATCTGTCCAATAATAGCTGCTATTTATTTAAAGGTTCATAAATGAAATTATGGGACATGATAAACAGACACTGTCATAATAGCTAAAATATTTAGATAAAAGAAAGGTTCATGTGCAAATGAAAACATTATGGGACAAAGGTAATGAAAATACTACATCTGTCCCATAATAGCTGCAATATTTAGTATATGAAAGGTTCATGCAAATGGACACTTATTATGGGACATAGATAATGAAAATACTATCTGTCCCATAATAGCTGCAATATTTAGTATATGAAAGGTTCATGCAAATGGACACGCATTATAGGACATAGATAATGAAAATACTATCTGTCCCATAATAGTTGTCACATTTATTGTAAGATTGTTGCATTCAAATGCAACAACAATTATGGGACAGAGGTAATACTTATTTAAAACTTAACATCTTGAAATCAAATAATTTCTGGTTTTTGACTGAAGAAAGGTGGAGAACTTTTTAAAGTGTATCTAAAATCAAATTATTCAAATTGATTACCACTAAAGAAGTGAAGTAATTGCAGCTTCAAAGAGTTGCCACCAAACAAAAAAAAAAAAAAAAAAAGTTGGAGTTGGTTTATTTTCTTACCTCCCATCGTTGGGTCACTGATTTTTCACCCATTAGGCTGCTGATAATTCCAGCACTGAATGAAAAAGAAAAAAAGAAGTGCGATTTAAAATGAAGGACATATTGCACCTATATGAAAAACAGATGCTTGCAGAAACAAAAATATGTCACTGATTGGGTCAAAGTACTCGTACTCTATTTGTACTCATATTGATCAACAGGGTCTGTGATACAATGCCATTTCCTCTCATGTATAAAAAAAACAACCATTTAAAAAAATTATCAGAGAATTTTTAAATGGTGGGTGAACCTTCTTGTAGATTTGCTTGATTTTGTTTAGCAACTTTTCAACTTCTATGTGTTATTTAATGCCAAAATCTAAATATTTTAAACACAATTTTATGCCTTCAACTACAGATAAAATGTGTTGTGGGTCATTTTACTATAAAAATGTATTTTTACATTTTCATAGTGTTTTATTTTTGTTGGGAGGTGGGGGTCACTAATTGCCTATAGCTGGGACCCTAACAGGTGTTACCACCCTGGGTCAGGGTGGACCTGGAAACAACAGCAATTAAGAAATGGTTCCATGCTACTCAAAGCCTCCAATCTCTTAATTAGAGGCCTTACTGCAGGATACATTTCTGGGCTGAGGGAATTCTAGATTGAAGTCAGCAGCCAGGGCAGGAGATTCCTCTGAGGGAGTCAACAGCTCCCTGACCAAAGCAAGCATTCAAATTGAAAGAGATCAGCCGTCATTTGACTTGGAGAAGGATGGGTCCCACCTGGTCTACATGCTACACATGGATGGATAACTCTTTGGCTTTGAACCTAGATATATGGTGGGAACTGGTCAGGTGCTCAACTGTGCCAAAACCCCCGACCCTATGACCATAGCAGGTCATAGGACTGACGATGATGATGATGAACTGCAAATAATACTCATATTTTACACTATTTACATTTGAACTATTGTCCTCATCTTTGTTGTTGCTAGCACTGAATTTTTGGGATGAGGCATTATCATTATTTACACTATTCCCATTCGGACTATTGTCCTCATATCATTTCAGCTGTTGCACCCTATGGCTAACATCAGGTGTAAATTGATCTGGTTAACTTACAGCAAATTCTAAACTGGACCATTTATTTAATCTACAGGTAAACTGTTCCTACTGCCCATATCTAGGGATATCTGGTCTAGTCCTTATTTTTAATACTGCCCAGTTATTGCTTGCTCATTTCCACGGAGTCCAAGTACACACTGCTTGGCACAGAAAATGAACTCACAATTATGATGGTACCAAATTCACATACCAAAGATTTAATCTATTAAGCTATTGTACCATAGGACAATTCTCTGTGGTGAACTTGGAGACTTAAACCTAACTTGTCTACTATTTTAAAGGTTGATAGTCAAAGTGTGACCAATCGGTTATTGGAGCTAGTCCTGAGTATGACAATCCTCTCCATCCAGCAGCAAGGCCTCCTATCAGGAGGTTTTAAGGAACATGGAACCACCATGGAATTGCTGTCATGGGGTAGTAGCACCTGTTAGGGACCCAGCTATAGGCAAATAGTTAACCCCCAAACTGGGTTGAAACTCTATGAAAGTGTAGAAATACATTTTTATAATGAAATAAATGTTACCACAACATGGGTGGCAGTGGGTGTCGGTGGCAGTCTTAGACAAATGGATGTTCTGGTACAGTTACCATAGTGGTTCAGTAGATGATCCACATCATGTGGACAACAGGGAGGCATACAGTCTAGATGTGGGAATGGTTACTTTCTAAGTGTAGCTTTGTGTGGCACAAAGCCGAAAGTATGAAGCACACAGTGAGGATCAAACTCACTACTTAGTCGTAATTGTTCTAACGAGACAAGCTTGTTAACCATTACACTGCCTCAATCTGCCCAGGTAATTTTCTAAGCATAGCTTAAATATGGCACATTTAAAAAGTATGGGGCACCCAGTGAGGATTGAACTCACTATTCAGTCATAATTGATCTAGCAAGACAAGCAGTAACCAGTACACCACACCAGCAAGACAAGCAATAACCAGTACACCACATTGGAGTCTCCACCACCCTTATAGATGTGGGAATGGTGGATTTCTCAAATGCTGCAAAGATTGGAATTGGGGTGTGTTATGTAGTGTATGAAAGGTTTTTCTTCCTCAGTATGAGTTTGAATCCCTCGTCACCAAAGTTGTTATGTAGTGGTTTCACAGTGGAGGCTTGTATTTTGTACTAAGTTGGTCCTAAATAGGTTCGACGTACAAAACACTAGGAACTTGATATAATAGGTAATGATGCAGTAATCTAGTTGTGGTTGCTGATACTTTAATATCCGACTCACGGTTGTCCAACATCAACTGACTCACCAACTCTCTGCGCGACTGCTACTCCTACTTATTATAGATGGGAGAGTCTATTAACTATAGAATAGGTGAGTTCCAGTATCAGGATGATAGCAAGGACAGGCAGTCGAATGGTCGATTCCCTGTGAGAGCTGGATGACTGCTGCCTCACCCAGTCACTGGGAAACCCACAGCAGTATAATGAAAGCTCTAAATAAAAAAGAAAAAAATGTTAACGTTTTTTTATGGAGATGCCCAAAATGGAGGCATTATTTATGAGATCGGCTAACCAACCATTAATACAGTTGCGTGTGCTCTATCTCAAATGGGGGTGGATAATATTTCTATTCTTTCAATCCAGATATATTTTTACCTGTGTAAAAATAGTAAGAAAAATATTGACTCACCTGGATTCGATCTTGGCATTTTGCTTTTGCCCTGATACAGATTGCTGGGCATTGTCTGTTATTGCTGTAGCAACAGACAAAAACCTAGAAAAACAAGATGAAAATCAATGGAAAGGTTATATTTCAGAGGAAAAGAAGTCAACAAATATAAACAGACAAATTTCATTCAAATGAAAATAATTAGGATTCCTCTCCTTTATACAAAGAATTTACCAAAAAAAAATAAAATAAAAAAACCCATCAGTAACAGTTCACTGGTACCATCTTAATATGTCAACCATATTTATAGTATATATCTCTAAATTAATCACCAGTTACTTACCATTGCCTGAAAAAGTACAATCATAGTATTGAAACATGAAAGTTTTTATGTAACGATTTCAACATGATTTTATTATAATCTTTAATATATATATATATATATATATATATTATAGTTTTATCATATAGACAAAACAATCTTACTCACAAATTTTCAGTTTTTGTGACTAGATTTTGAAGGTACTCCTGTTTGTTTGGGATGGGAATATTCTTCAGCGAAATACCGAAATTGATTTTGTCAATGTTTTTAGTTTGAATCGTTACCAACAGTGTCCAACAGTAATAGGAGTGATATATATATATATATATATATATATATTTGGACTCCATCAGGACTGGAAAGTGAAAACTAGGCTGTACAGGTTAAGTAAAGAAAATCACAAATGTATTTATTAAGTGGTACATTTCCAAGTCTCATATTTTTTTAAAATTGAATCATAAATCCAAATAATATAATGCTAAATAATATAATGCTGAACAAATAAAGAGACAGAAAAAAAAATTTTTTAAAATGGAAATTTACTCTGATGAGAAAAACTTTCATAGACAAGAATCTCCAATTCTCTTTTTTGGACATAAATTTCATATCAGAATTTTCTTGACTGATTCTTCAGATAAAAGGAACAAAGATGATTTTGATGAAAGCAAGAAGTACCTTGAAGACCTTGAATATGCAGAGAGTGATGCTATGAAATGTGCGGTTTTATTGATCATGATGCTATGAAATGTGTGGTTTTATTGATCATGATGTGATCAAATGTGTGGTTTTATTGATCATGATGTGATCAAATGTGTGGGTTTATTGATCATGATGTGATCAAATGTGCGGTTTTATTGACCATGATGTGATCAAATGTGTGGTTTTATTGATCATGATATGATCAAATTAGTGATTTATGTACCTAGAAAAGATATGCAAGGTTTTAATGAATTTGTTGCCAATATCTTTGCTTTTTTGAGATTTTTGTTTTTTGGGTGTGAGAGACTTACTTTGCGTAAACTTTGTTGCGAACTTTTCGAGGGAAAGCCAGCAGATAATTACGTCCGTCTGCAGAGAAAACTTCCACTGCAATTGGCTGCAGCAGATAGCGTCTCTTGTGCACTTCCCGGATGTCATCATAGGAGAATTTACTGCAGCTGTAGTAATAGAAAATAGAAAGGATTATACATTTCCATTCCAAGACATCTATCTATATCTATATATATATATATATATATATATATAAATTATTTATTTAAAAATTACATGAATCATTCATACAAAAAGCAGATTAATGAAGTTAATGATATAAATAGTGAGAATACATCTTCGCAAACAAATTTATTAAAATGACATTAATCCACGAATCTCTAGATGAATGTTATGATTCATGTTTTTAATAAATTCAACTTGTATAAGGTCTTTTTTTTTTGCCAGTACTTTCATCTGTTCATACAGACATCATCAGGCATGGAAATTGATTTGTTATTTTTTTTTATAAGACATCCAGGTAATAACGGGACACGGAAGATTAGATGTGAATCGAAATATTTTTATTTAGAAATGTGTTATTGTTTAATGGTAAGAAATTTTGGAGTGTGCGGTCGCAACGCTAAGGTTGAATTTTTTTGAAAATTTTAAAAGAGAGTGTGATTTTTAATTAATTTTGTAATTTTAATAAATTTTTTGTTGAGTTACACAATGTAGTAGAAGTTGTAATAATCTTAAGTTATGGAAATTTCTTAGATGAAGCATTGTCATCTTTTTTACGGGTTTTATTTTTGGTATTTTATTGATTTATGAATTTTATCCAGTTGTTATTATTTTTTTTGCAAAAAACAAGCAGCAATTATTGAAAATAGAAATAAAATGCTGCTACACCCATTGTCAACTTTATCAGGGGGGAAATTATAAAGCACAAAATTTTACCATCAGGATATGTCAACTTATCACCTACCAAAACTGAAAACAAACACTTTATTAAATAAATGAGAAAAATTAACATACATTCTTTTTTGGCAGCTGCCGCTACTTTTTGATGTCCGGGGAATAATAGGTTCATGAAATCTGAAAAGAAGAAAAAATGATTATATACATAACATACAGATATACATATAAGTGTGTATATATCTGTCCCCCTTTCTCTTTTACATATGCACAAACACATACACACACACATATATATATATATATATATATATATATATATATATATATATATATATATATATATATTATTTTTTCCCCTCATAAGTAAATAGACTCCACCAACTTAACAGATGGTGATAACTATTGACATATTACAAGAGTCAGTATTCAGTTAGTGCCTGACAATTAGCACATGCATGAAACTCAGGAATGGTGAGGAACAAATGTATATTTATTCTTAGTATAAATTTTACCTCTGTTATTCTACATCAAGCATTGTTTTATTGTGACCAGTATTCTGTGTGTGCTATTTATATATATATATATATATATATATATATATATATATATATAATTAAAATGGACGAGGTCCGACAATTTATTTATTAAAGACATTTTTATTTATGTTTATCTATAAAATAACAACGTTAAACATAAATAAAAATGTCTTTAATAAATAAATATATATATATATATATATATATATATATATATATATATATATATATATATATATATACATACACTAGCAGAAATACCCATGCCCTGCTGCATGTCACAGATCTTTTTTTGTATGAAAAAGATGATTGATTTTAAATCATTGTTATAATTTGTGGAGAAAAATGATGCATTTCAATATTACTCAATAATCATACCGATGTGACCTCCATCTTCTGGCTTTCTCCTTCTATATTTTGGATAGGAATCATTCCCTGGTTCAAATTTAAATTTAATTTATATCAAAGGAAAATATTTTTCGGTGGGCGGGGGTGCAAAAAAATTTGATCTGACCTCTTTGATATGTATTTGATGCAATACTTGATTGAATGAATTGATGAGCAGATTTCAACATTGATATGACAGTTAAATCGTCACAACAAATATGATTGGTGATTTCTTGCTTAACTTGAGATCCATATTGTCTCATGTTGATATTGCCCATGTGACCTCCATCTTCTGGCTTTCTTCTTCTATATTTTGAATATGAGTCATTCCCTTGTTCAAATTTAAATTAAATTTAAATCAAAGGGAAAAAAAATTCAGTGTGGGGCTTGAGCCCACAGCGAGACTCCCTTTGATCAAAATGAAATATACTTATCCAAGTACCCTAGGTAATGTAATTTCAGAATATATATGGTTATGGGGGTCTATCTTCAAAATCCTAGAAAGAGTTCGATAACAAACAAATAGACAGAGGTTAGAACTTTATATATATATAATTAATTAACAAATCAGAGACTTCAGAAAGCCATGGTAATATTTAATATTTCACAGGACAGATAAAATTCAATTTCAGTTTGTCAGACCTTGTGGTTTCAAAAATCCGATTTGTTAATTATTACTTGCTCTGTTTACTACGTTGAGCTCTTGGGATTTATATCCTCCTTGGAATTATCCATACAGATTACCAATTATCTATATATATATATATATATATATATATATATATATATATATATATATATATATTCCTTCAAGCATGGGCACCTCAAGGCCTTGTAATGGTTAGCAAGCTTGTCTCGCTAGAACAACTACAACTAAGTAGTGAGTTCAATTCTCACTGGGTGCCCCATACTTTTGGCCTTGTGGTGTTACGGTTTTTTGTATATATACTGTGTAACTAGTGAGCGAGTCAAAATGACTTAATTCCCTTTATAGTCTACCAATAGAAGGTTGACCAATCAGAAGCCGCACAACACTGTATCCGTCGTGTATAAAGGCGGCCATCTTTGTTTTCCTATTGGAATGACCAAAGGCAACTTGTCTGGCGAACAGGACAGACGGAAGAACTACGCTCTGCTACCTTGCTGCGATATCCACTGCAAACCTGCACTACACTTTCCTACTGTCTTCGAAATATTCACTGCCAACCTCTGGATTCTATACTCGAAGACGACCGTCATGAAAATGTCTAACATGTGGCACATCTAAGCTACACTTGGAAAATCACTATATTCTTCAAGCACTATTATAGTGATACTAGTATTTGAAATAGACGTCTCATGTTTAATTTTTACTTTAAACAGTCTATTTCAAATACAAGTATCCACTATAATAATGGGTATTTCAAATAGAAGTATTCACTATTTGACTAAATAAAAATGACTTTCTTAATACTTTGCTTAGCTTTCGAAAGGCACTTTAAAGAAACAAAAGCCTATGAAATTCAACATACTCTGGTGGTAAGCTGTCAATGTCTTTGATTTCTTTGCTTTTCAGTAAAGTGAAGCCATCAATAACATAGAAATGTTCTTTGCCAAAAAGTAATAGTCCTTCAGCTGTGTCCAAGCCTTGAATGCGGGCACATCGAAACATGTGGGTGATCTAGAAAGAGAGAAATTTAGAACATTAAAAGGAAGAATCAGTTAACGGATGAAAAGCTTTAAATAAAACAAAAAAAAAAAAAAAAAATGTACCTACAGCTATGCTACTTCAGAGGTGCTGTCAACAGCTTCATGCTATTTTATTACCAGAATGTTCTGGTGACCTAGACTTTATGAATTCAAGTGCTGTACTAGATTGGCGACAAGGTCTCATCATTTTACAGTTGAAATGTATAGTATAACAAAAAACAAAGTACCAAGCCCTGAGAGAGCTAATTTCATCACGCAAAGGGGTATATAACATGGCCATTATTTCAAAGAAAGGAAATAGCCTAATGGCCCACTTTGACCAATTAAGACCTAGAATTGAAGAGGTAGACATTGTGATAGAAGAAGATCTTGATAGAGGAGAGAGAATGAGTTCTTCAGATCAGGATATTGCTATGGAATATAGCAGGAGTGACCCAGACACTGAAGAAGGTGAGATGAGACCAAGATTTACATTAAAAAGAACAGGACATAAACCTCAAGAGAGAGATAGAAAAAGAGGTTGAAGAAAGGCGTTAAACCTCTTCAGTTCAGGGAGGTGTAGTGGATTGGTAAATAGGATTGTATCTATTTAAATATGTTAAGTAGAAGAGATATAAAGTGTATCGTAAACTAAGAGACAAGCAAGAAGTTGACTACTGATCATGGGTTATAGAAAAACACAATACAGCAAAAGGTTTAGATGTAACCATAAATTCTATGCTAAGAGTTTCTTTTCTCACACTTCTTGCTTGTGGAACTCTCTTCTTGTGTCTTGCTTTCCAGAGAACTTTGATCTTCAAAACTTTAAATGCATTGTCAATTGTCATCTTCTGTTGTCTTGATTCTCTTTAATGTTTTTCTTTTATACTTTCACACTTAGTAACCCCTTGCATGTCAGTAGCTTTGTTGCCTTACTTGGGGTGAAATGATTAAAAAAATGCACTATTTATATACTTAATCAGTTGCTAGGTCTGTTGCTAAGAATGTTGGTTCACTGTGCTGTGCAAGATAATTTTTCTCACCAGAATCTGTCCTACATATTTATAAGTCAACTATTTGCTCAATAGTAGATCTGAAAAGTTCAATAAGGTCAAACTGGCATCTGATCAAAAAAAAAAAAAAGAAAAAAAAAAAAATTTACAATTTGTTGTTAACTGGGGAAAGAACTGGCTTGTTAATTGTAATGCCTCCAAAACGAAACTGCTTTCATCATCTTAGAGAGCTTTTTTTGCCTTACATCAGCATGGCTGATGCTAACCTCCATGAGAGTGACTTATGGTGCTTTCTCAGACTACCATTTTCCACTGACATGAAGTGGAAAGATTATATTGAACCAATTTCTCAGTCTGCTGCTAGACAATTTTTTGGAAAGAATTTGCCTTACATCTTTATAAGTCTACTGTCTTCCTTTGGATATTGCTGCCACGTCTGGTTTAGTGCTTCTACTATCTATTTGGAGATTCTTGATAAAATCCAAAGAAGAATCTGCAATGTTATGTCATGTACTGGCATCACGGCTTCAGTCACTTTGCCACTGCCGTAATGTAGCTGTGCCTTATCTATATTTTCATTGTAATTGTTCTAGTGAGCTTTACTCTTTTGTACCTTGACATCACAAATTCAAGTGCAGTACTAGATTGGCAACTAGGTCTCATCATTTTACAGTTGAAATCACTAGATGTAACTGTAAGTTCTATGCTAACAGTTTCTTCTATTGCACTTCTTGTTTGTAGAACTATCTTCCAGATTCTTGCTTTCCCATCAAACACTGAACTTCAAAAATCTAAAAGCAATATCAATTGTTATCTTCTGTCTTCTTAATTCCTGTTCTTTTAGTGCTTAAATTTTTTTTTTCATATTTTTCACATTCTAACCCCCCCTTGCATTTGCAGTAAAATAGAAAAAATCAAAAGATAAAAATGTAGCATATGATTCATGTCAGGAAATATAAAAGTCCGATTCAAATTTAAATTCATTTTAACAGTAATCCTCTAGATCGGGTGGCTCTCGAGCCTTGTATTGGGTAAATTTTAATATAAAATAAAAAAATCCATAATGTATTTTTGAGATTGTAAAAATGTATATTTTTTTTTTGCAAGTGTATATTGCATTAATAATCTTTTGGAAATGATGATTTTTCCAGATATGTCCTACTATCTAACCCATATCTGGGGAGAGAAGAAATAGATTCATACATTTTCCAAGGGTATTTGTGTGCGAGTGAAATATATATTTTAATGGAGATCCATCTTTGAAATAGATGCCCTGTTTTTAACCAAGACTTTAGCAATCTTCACATCCTTCTAAATTTGCTTACTGGTTAAAAAAAATTTATTAATTATTGGAAAAAAGGCATTACAGATCCCTCCCCACTTCTCAAAAGGGTCCCACGCTGCTCAAGTTTACTTCTTCCCCTTTAACTACCTTTTCTCCGTCGCCCAGAAGTCGTAAGATGGCTTGATTGGAAGCTTTGCTCTCGCCTTGACTATCTTGTTGGCCATCTGTTTTGTCCACATCTGTGCTTGGCTCCGTGCTACCACCAGGATCATCAGCATCATCCTCATTCTCAATACTTCGTAAGACACTGGTCTGTCGCCGTGGTAACAGCTTGGGGATGTTCATTATCACTGCATTTGCATAAGAAAAATAAACAAAAAAACAAACATTAAAATAAGAAAAAATTAATCAAATTTCATTTTAGCTCTGTTTATTAAGAATTAGTGGTTTATGAAAATTGTGAAAGCTGGACAATCTACTCACAGATGGAAACTGATGGCATGAGAAATGTGATTCTACAGAAGGATGCCAAGAATATCACGGATGGAAGATATGAGCAATGAGGAAATTTTCAGGAAAGAACAAACAATATGGGAACTGGTATGAATTGGAAAGAAAAACAGTTGAAATCCCAAGAGATATAAGAATAAGGAAAGATGCCTTCTAGAAACTAAGTAAATTATGAAGAGAGAGGAAATTAGAATCTGAAAGAGTGCTGAACTGCTATGTAATATCAATCCTCCTATATGGCAGTGAATACTGGACAATTTCCTCACAGATGAAGAGGAGACTTGAAGCAAGAGAAACAAAGAAATCAGTGCTGAACTGCTATGTAATATCAATCCTTCTATATGGCAGTGAATGCTGGACAATTTCCTCACAGTTGAAGAGGAGGCTTGAAGGAACAGAAATGTGGTTCTACAGAAGGATGCTGAGAATACCATTGCTGAAGTGAGTAAGCAATGAGGCAGTCTTAAAGAAAATAGTAACAAAAAACATGTTCTGAGAAATAAAAACTGGAAGCTATAAAGAGACATGTTTGTCTATGTCATGAATGGGCCAAGCAGAAATAGAAATACAAGGTCTGATCAAAGAGTATCAGAACTGTTACTATGGTAACAGAGCTAAAGTATGCATATTGATCCTGAACTAACTTATAACGTTCTTGTTCACTTCTGTTATTTATAGCAGTGCTCGGAAGGAAAATGTGTAGAGTGTGGTTATCTCACCACACCACAGAGCTTCCATCAGGGACCGTGCAGCAGTTTTTTTACTAAGCACAACATTCTCCAGGTCCAATAACTATATTCTCCAGATCTCACACTTTGTGATATTTTTTTCTTTTTTTTGTAATGCCCATTTTAGGAGGGACTTTGTAAACCACAGATACAATAATAGTAATGCTTTCACACAATACTGGTCAGATGTCAGCTAATTTCCATATATATATATATATATATATATATATATATATATATATATATATATATATATATATATATATATTACCCATCATGTGATCTAATCATTTCAAAATGAGGTCGGCTGTGCTTGCTCTCTGGTGATCCATATTCAAACCTAAGTGTCAGCAGCAACACCTTATTCTTATATGACATTTTTCAATCCCCACTTGAAAGGAACAAGATTTCAAGACATTTAAGGAAATCTAAGAGAATGCAATAAGACAGCTGTTCCTATTCCAAAAAAGGAGTTCCAGGAATACTCCTATCAATGGAAACAAGGCTAAGGGAATTACTTTGAAGGAGATTAAATACAAAATTGATATATGTTGTAGTTTTATTTTTATAGCACCAGTCCTGATACTTTTTGATCAGCCCTCATAACTCTCACGTGTACATATGCCAAAGGGAGATAACTCCATTGAATTATCCTCAATTTGGTTAGTGATGTAACAAGTTAAAAAAAGATGCATTAATTTAATCAGACTGATTCAGTTCAAGATAGCCAGTAATAAAAAAAAAAATATGAAAATGAAATTGTGGGTGAACAAGACTGACCTTCAGAATTCTGATCCACTGAATCCACTTCAGCCATGAAAAAGTCCATTTCATCAGTTTGGATGGGAAGTTCATCATCACACAGGAAGCTCTGAGAACGATATCTCTTGAACCAATCACGGCTGTCTCGACTGATGGCCACCTTGTATTTCAGAGGCTTCTGAAGAAAACCGGTAAAGAGTTTCGTAACAATGCAAACAGCAGATCATTATTTACTAATACTAATTTACTAAATCATTATATCAATGCTAAATGTAGCAAACTTTATTTGGCAAAGTTTAACCTTTGTACCTGCAAAAAAAAAAAAAAAAAAAATTGGTATATCGAAAGGATGGTTTTACTCTTGATGCTACTATTACTGCATACATCAATTTTTATTATTTTAAACAGTTATTTAGTAACTATTAGAGTTTCATTGATTTGTTCTAAAGTCATGAAAAATTGTTTGTTTGAAATTGGGGCAAATATGGAACAAGGATGAAGTTCTAGTAATATTCAATGTGCCATTCGAACAATAGTTTTTCTTCATATTCCGTAATAAAATGTTGACTTTATTTTCTTTATTTTATCTTATTTTGGATAGCAAACATACACATTGCTAAAATGATGTATAAGTAGTAGAATTTTATAAATTTATGAATAAACTAGAAAGATCCGTTAAAATTTCACAGTTTTAATATCCTGATGAATCTTAATTCTTAAGTTAATGATTGAATAAGCTCATGGCAAGTTCTATGACAACAAATTATCCATAGGAATTCCCCTAACGCATTGTTACATATTTGAGCTTAACAACTTTAACAAAATATTGAAATAACACTTATAAACATGAATGCTGGTCATTATTTTGAAAAGTGGGTACAAATGAAAAAATTTTGAAATTGAGAGCTTTTTTCATTTCACTGAAAGAGCTATTAAATACTTCCATATTTTTTCCATTTTTTGCTTTCAATTTCTCACTGAGAGCAAGAAGTGTCTTTGCTATGTCATTTCCATGTTTTCATGCAGTCAAAATGGAATAGTCCATTATTTATAAGGTACTGACAGGTCGTAACAGTTGTGCAAACTAACTAACAAAGGAAAGGACATGCAAAATTATGAGATGTTTTAAAAGACAAATTATATTCAAGTAGGCCAAATATATGAGATGCTGTGTATGTAGAATTTTACTTATTGGAGAGATAGATAGATAGTTAGATTTGGTTTGGTTTGTTTTACGACATTAACTTGAATGGGTTATTTAATGCTGACAAGATTTTTATTGCTGGTAATAATTTTTCAAAAATATATTGCTGTTAATATTTTTGTTTTTTCAAAAATTAATTCCTGGTAATAATTTTTTTCTTCAAAATTTCATTCCTGGTAATAATTTTTTTTCTTCAAAATTTCATTCCTGGTAATAATTTTTTTTCTTCAAAATTTCATTCCTGGTAATAATTTTTTTTCTTCAAAATTTCATTCCTGGTAATAATTTTTTTTCTTCAAAATCTCATTCCTGGTAATAATTTTTTAGAAAAACATTGCTGTTATTAAAACCTATTCATAGTGCTTTGACTCCAGTTTGGGGGATAACTATGTGCCCATAGCTGGGACCCTAACAGGTGTTACCGTCCTGAGTCAGGGCGGACATGGGAACACCAACAATAAGAGGTGGTTCCATGCTCCTCAAAACTTCCTGATCAGAAATCTTGCTGTTGGATGCAGTTTATCGTCCTACCCAGGATGAGATAGATAGAGATACCGTATTAACATGATTTACAATCAGGCTACTGTCCTCATCTTTGTTGTTGTTATAACAATATTGGGTTGTGAATTTGGTGACATAGTAATTGTGAGCTCAATCCCTGGGCCAGGCAGTGAGTACTTGGTCTCAGAGGAAATAGGGCAAGCAATAACAGAGCAGTACTAAAAATAATAACTAAACAAGGTATCCCCAGACATGGGCAGCAGAATGAGAACAGTGTACCTCTGTAGATTAACTAAAGGGTTTAGTTTGGAATTCACAGATCAATATACACCTGATGAAGGCCAGAGGGTGCAATGGATGAAACATAATGAGGACAATAGTCTGAATGTAAATAATGATAACTCCTCGTCCTAGAAATTCAAACAGAAGATATACAGTATTTAACAACATACAAGACTCACCTTATCTCACCCACCATCAACATTAAGAATCTTGTAAATTTATACAAACTATACAAAAATAGCAAACATGAATAAAGAATTCAAGTATTTTCACATATTATTTCATGCCGAAAAGGAGTCAGAGGTGATCTTATATACAATCAAAAATGGTATTTGTATTATTTTAAAAATTTCAGACTTGGTTCATCACCATGGTGTTCTATACTATAGGCCTAATCATAGTGCAAAAAAGGGCTACAACTGATGGCCTATTTCAAAACTTTCTTATTTCATGCGTTTTAGTTCATCAAAACTGGTATTTTTGCTTTAAAATTTTATACTTGATCTATCTCCATGATTGTCTATACTATAGAACTGATCATGGCGCAACCAAGGACTATTTCAAAACCTTATTTCAGGCACCATCAACCTCTTTATTTTACATCATTCATCAAAAATGGTATTTATTTTTAGACAAGTTTATAATAAATAAAGAAGAAAATATTTACATTATTTGGACTATCATCCTTATCTTTGTTGCCATATTTATCACAGTGTTTCAGCCATTGTATACTCCGGGCTTCTTCAGGCTGGAGTGCACAACGGCTGAAACATTGTGATAAATATGGCAACAAAGATGAGGACAATTGTCCGAACAATGTAAATAGTGTACATAATACTTCATCACAGAAATATAGAAAGATACCAAAATATTTTAACATATTTAATTAGGGAGCATGGATGAAGTTTAAGTAACATTTGATGTAACACTGAACAATTTTTCTTTTCTTTATTTTTTCAAATATAAAGTACCTCTGCAGCGATACTTACACTGGAATCCATATTGGGTCGGTAAGGATAGTGGATATAGAACATGTCATTCCTCATCAATTTCTTCCTCATGCGGCATGGACCTATAAAATATAAATACATTTCTAAGTAAGTATTTCCAGTTTTTAATCACATGAAACAAATAGTTTTTAGGTGCTAAGCAAAAAAAAAAAAAAAAAAAGAATCTTTCCACCTAAACCCTCTTCAAACAAATATTATTTCAAATGGTTAAATTTAGTAAGCATAATGTTTTTCATCCACATTCCAAGTGGCTTGGTAAAATTTAAAGGTTATAGTGACAGATTTCCAAGTGACTTGGTAAAATCTAAAGGTTACAGTGACGGATTTCAAGAAATAATACCTACTTGATGGTCATTAGTCTAAGAGGCATTGGTACAAATTGGAGCAAATACAGAAATTTAACAATTTGGGAAGCATTATAACAGCTGATGGAAAATGTGACACAGAAATCTAAAGGTGCACTGTAATAGAGAAAGATGCTTTCCGATAACTAAAAGTATTAGGAAAAAAGAAAAATGTGTCAGAACCAAAGAAAAGAGTGCTGAACAGTTATATGATATCAATCCTCCTCTATGGAAGTGAATGCTGGACAATTTCCTCACAGATGAAGAGGAGACTTGAAGCAAGAGAAACAAAGAAAAGAGTGCTGAACTGCTATGTAATATCAATCCTCCTATATGGCAGTGAATGCTGGACAATTTCTTCACAGATGAAGAGGAGACTTGAAGCAAGAGAAACAAAGAAAAGTGTGCTGAACTGCTATGTAATATCAATCCTCCTATATGGCAGTGAATGCTGGACAATTTCTTCACAGATGAAGAGGAGACTTGAAGCAAGAGAAACAAAGAAAAAAGTGTGCTGAACTGCTATGTAATATCAATCCTCCTATATGGCAGTGAATGCTGGACAATTTCCTCACAGATGAAGAGGAGACTTGAAGCAAGAGAAACAAAAAAAAAGAGTGCTGAACTGCTATGTAATATCAATCCTCCTATATGGCAGTGAATGCTGGACAATTTCTTCACAGATGAAGAGGAGACTTGAAGCAAGAGAAACAAAAAGAAAAGTGTGCTGAACTGCTATGTAATATCAATCCTCCTATATGGCAGTGAATGCTGGACAATTTCTTCACAGATGAAGAGGAGACTTGAAGCAAGAGAAACAAAAAAAAAAGTGTGCTGAACTGCTATGTAATATCAATCCTCCTATATGGCAGTGAATGCTGGACAATTTCTTCACAGATGAAGAGGAGACTTGAAGCAAGAGAAACAAAAAGAAAAGTGTGCTGAACTGCTATGTAATATCAGTCTTCCAATATGGCAATGAATGTTGGACAATTTCCTCCCAGATGAAGAGGAGACTTGAAGCAAGAGAAACAAAAGAAAAGTGCTGAACTGCTATGTAATATCAATCCTCCTATATGGCAGTGAATGCTGGACAATTTCTTCACAGATGAAGAGGAGACTTGAAGCAAGAGAAACAAAGAAAAGTGTGCTGAACTGCTATGTAATATCAATCCTATGATATGACCATGAATGACAATTTAGCTTTCTTCTCTTGAAAATGGAGGTTTTTGTGTGCAAATTCTTACACCCCCATCAAGTTAATGCACTCCACACAAAAAAAGAATGCTCTGCCAACAGGCCTGACCTGCAAGAATGTTGGGCTAGGCCAATGCTCATAGCATTTCCTCATAATTATTTTAGCTTTGACACTTTAGCAATCAACCACCTATCCATAATATCAGCACCATTAGCAGCTATAATGATTGGATATGTTTTTGCTTTTCACTGTACCACACAAATATCAAATGTGTGTAATGGCTTGTCAAAATTACAGAGATGGTTAGATTTTATAAAATGTCATAAAAATTAACTCTGTTCACTATCCACCTATTCTACTGACCTTCTGTCATGTCAAGCATCCATTTGTCTAATCTGGACCCAGTTAAAGGTCCCCAGAGGCCACGTTCTCGAAGAAGTTCATTCTCTGTCTGTGTCCATTCTTCCAGAAGATACTTCTCCATATGTTCATTGCTCTGCAAAAAATAAAAAAATAAATGGTATAAAACACAAGAGGAAGTCAAGTATTTATAAAAAACATCTTTTTTAATGCCGTTCCCTGTATACAAAGAATTTTAATTAAGAAATGATTTTTACATCTAGTGATTTTTTTTTATTTTCCATAAATGGAATAACTCATACAGAAATAACAGTAATTGTAAAAATTCTTCAAATAAAATAAATAAAAAACAAAAAGTATTAATAATGTAAACTTTGGTTCTATTTAAGCAACAAATGAAGTATTAGTCCACTGTATGTAACATTTAATTTAAAAGAGCACTCAATACATAGTAGAGCAAACTATTAATATGGCAAAATAATATATATATCTATATATATATATATATATATATGTGTTGAGAATAAGTAGACAAAACTTGTCTAAATTATTCAATGAAACATTTGATATATATAAGTGGACACTGAAGTCAACACCTACAAGCAACAGTCTGTTTCATGCTATACACTATGATCCAGCATTTAGCATGAGACTGTTG